GCTGACCTGAAACTTTCGATCTGCTTCCCAAATGCTGGGATTACAGGTCTGTGCTATGACCTGCCTCAAGTTAATCTTTTAGGTGAGTCTTTGTTAGAGAAGATGGGGAAATTGCCTTTTCTTACAGTTCCCAGGGGTACATGACTGAATTGTAATAGAAAGAAAGCTATTTGTATAAGCACCTGTATCGAGTCTTTCTCTGTCCTGCCAGCTAAATATTCCACCACAAACATCTGTGCTTAGAAGCAGGCAAGGAGGACACAGAAGAACAGCAGGGCTACCCAGGGTGCCCACAGACTCTACAGGTAGCATTTATTCACCACCAGGGCAGCAGGACCAAGTTCAAATACCTCTAAAGATAGAAGCCCAGTAACATAACAATATTCCAAGTAGATTTTATCAGTTAAGAATCAGGGATTTTTTTAATTTTGTTTTGTTTTTTCTGTTCTTTCCATGTTTTGTTATTTCTTCCTAACTAATGCTGATGAAATGAGAAAGGAGGGTAAGAAACAAAGAGAAAGTTGTTTTTTAGCATGGAATTACCATATGACCATAGTGTGTCCAAACAGAAACCCATTGAATCAATGCTTTATCGCAGAGATTTTAAGTTCCACCTCGTACTGCCTTGCCCTCACTCAGGTTGCACTAATTGCTTTATAATGGAAAACTTGATTCTATAAAATGTACACCAGTTGCTTTGTGAACCTTGAACCCGGTTCTTAGAAAGAGGTGGTAAGGGTGGAGCTAAATTACAGAAAACAGTTCTTAGAGAGCAAGTTGCTGTGGAGTTCGGGAAACATGAATAAGTCAAACAACAGCCAGCTCCAGATTACATGAGGTTAGGCCACTCAGATTGTGAACTAAGGCAGACAGCCTTGTGTGTCTTTCGGTTCTGATGGACTCTTCCATCAGTATCCACTTTTGTTCTAGAATAAACTGAGCTTGGATCAACTTAAAGCTATCAAAGGAAAACCAACAAATACCATTTTGCTGCCTATGAATAGAGTTTCTGTTCCAGAGGGAATGGGTAAAGTGTGTTTAGTTTTTTTTATGTATATAATTGGTTATCCAGACACATGGTATATCACTGAAAACCTAAGTTGACAGAAAAAAATATAGACTGGCATTTGCTTATTATGATTTAAAGTTTCAGGGGACTAGAAAGATGGCTTCCTTAAAAGCGCTGATTGCTCTGATAGAGGACCCAAGTTCAGGTCCCAGCACCCTCACAGTGGTTCACAGCCACCTGTATGTCCTGTTCCAGGGGATCTAATGCCCTCTTATGACCTCCACAGGGACCAGGCACGCATGTGGTGAACATATATACATGCAGCAAAATATGCATACAGTAAAAGTAAATAAAAATACAAATTTTTTAAAAAATAAATAAAATAGAACATTTGTTTTTGCCATGCTGGTGACTGATGCTAGGACCTCAGTTGTGCCTACACAAGTGCTCTGCCACAGAGCTATTAATGCAAGCCCATATTTATTATGTTTTCATAAATAAATGGTAAGTTCTTCCTGATACATATTATAATAATATTTTATAAATAAATAATACATATATATTTATATACATATATGTATGTAAATTTGGTTTGACATAGTCCTGTGGTATTTTTCCTAATCTCAACCCTTCACAGTTAGGGACAAACCCAGACCCCTCACACATGCTAAGCAAGTTCTGGCTCCCTGAGTTACAGTAATCTGAAGTCTGGTGAACCCAAGGGTGCACCAGGCTGGAGTTTGAGCCACACTGTTTGTATGGTGGTTTCCTCCCTGTCTGGACCCCACTGGGTAAGCTTTACAGAAGGTTTCCATTACAGAAGTCCATTGTGCATTACAAGAAAAACAAGCTGGTTCTCTTCCTGCTCTCTTCCCTGGTGTGGTTGAATGTGGAATGCAGCCTACACACATGACATTGCACAGTGGCTGCATAGGTTAGAGCTGTTCTTGAGCTTTGAGCGGATGAATCACTGGGTCGTTGAGCTGTCTCAAGGGTTTTTGATAATATTTACCATTACACAGATTTCTCTAATTGGTACATAGGGCTTTAACAAAAAGAAACTGCCAGGTCTTCAAATATTGTGACTGAAAACAGTGTTATCAGAGTTCAAAGAAATCAAGGGTGTGGGGCTCAAGTAGTTTGTGGTACTGTGTTCCTGCTTTTTTTAAAGAGTGTATGTCATGAAGAGTGACTGCTTAACTTCCCTTTTCCCTCTATAGTGTCAAAGGAAAGATTGTGTCTGGTTCATTCCTTTATCTCCCTCTACCTCTTAGAAATGAAGGCCAATAAAATGTTTACTGCCTCTCCATGGCCTGGATTCCTGTCAATATACAGAATGAAATTATCTCTTATGCTTTTCTAATGTTATCATTTTCCAGCCTCGCACTGGAAGAAAATAAAATTGATAATTTCTTGTTACCTAGCTTCTCTGGAGCTGTGGATTGTAGTCTTTGTAGTCTGGTTATCCTTTGCTTTACATCTAATATCTAATTATGAGTGAGTACATTCTGTGTTTGTCTTTCTGAGTCTGGGTTATCTCACTCAGGATAGTTTCTTCTAGTTCCATCCATTTGCCTGCAAATTTCATGATTACATTGTTTTGTTTTGTTTAACAGCTGAATAACACTCCATTGTGTAAATGTACCATATTTTCCTTATCATTCTTCAGTTGAGGGAAATCTAAGTTGTTTCCAGGTTCTGGCTGTTAAGAATAATGCTGCTATGAAGGGGCTTGGTCCTGCCCCAACTTAATGTGCCAGACTTTGTCGATGCCCCATGGGAGGGAGCCCTTACCTGTTGGGAGGAGTGAATGGGGGTGGGGTGGGGGGGAAAACTTTGGTTGGAATGTAAAATAAAATTTAGAACAAAAATAAATTTAATAAAAAATAATAATGCAAAATGCTAGATTTGATAGTTGTTTAAACATTATCCACATCATTAATCAGATTCAGTTCAGTTAATGGAAAAGTAAAACACATAAAAGGCTCCAAAAAAATGGATAACTTCTGTTTGTGTGTCTTTGTTAGCCATTCTGGCTCCTTTTATTCTGATGCCATTTTATTTGTTTGGTTCAGAATCATAAGTTATAAACAATAATCCCACCATTACATCATAATTTACTTTTTTAAAGGAAAACTGCTAACTGCTGGCCAATTGTCTCATCATTGATGCTTGCGGGCTTACTATTTTACATATCCTGTTAATTGGTATTTATTGTAAAATTTTCATGAGCAAAACCTCTGCTCAACATCTTAATACCATAACAATGGTGTTGGGGACTGGGTAGACTCTCAACTCTATAATGATAATGTAGGGTCCAAAATGGCAGTCACTGAAGTTGAAAGTGCAAATTTAATTATGCCTGTGTGGTGGAATTATGTAAACCTTCTGTCATAGAGTTAGGAGTTAGGGTAGGAGTTGAGGGAAGGCTGGCTGCAAAATTTGTGTTATTGAGTTAGACATGTACTTCCTGGCTGTAAACTTGCTAGTTGAGGTGCATCTTCTCCACATCTTAGCGATGTCATGCTACCCTGTTTATTTCGTCCATAATGCTAATTACATCATGAAATTATTCTGCTTACTTCTGTGCTTTGCTCCTTATCAAGTACTTCCCTTTATTTGATGTTGAAGTACTAATACTTAGCTCCAAGTTTGGCCCCTGATAAGGAGCTTGAGTAAGTAGAAGCATACTCAGACTCAAGTCCATGGGATACCTAATTGCAATTTCTTTTGCCTTTTTTGAGACAGGGTCTCACTATGTGGCCCAGGCTTGCCTCATACTGAATATTTCTCACCACCATGCCCTGCTCCTACTTTTAATTTCATCTACATACTGGAATTAAGGGACAGAAAGAGATTTCAGGAGCTAGACAGGTGGCTCAGAGGCTAAGCAAACTTGCTGTTCTCGAATAAGGCCCAGATTCCATTCCCAGCACCCACATGATAGCTCACGCCCCTCTGTAACTCCAGTTCCAGGGGATCCAACATCTTCAGGCTACCTCAGGCAGTGCACACAAGTGATACACATTCATAGATGCAGGCAAAACACTCATACAAATAAAAATACACCTTAGAAAAAAGGCAGGTTTTTCCAGGAAGAGGTGGTGCATGCCTTTAATCCCAGCACTCAGGAGGTGATCTCTGAGTTCAGAGCCAGCCTAGTCTACATAGTCAGTTCCAGGAGAGCCAGAACTACACAGACAGGCTAAACCCTGTCTCCAAACAACAACAAACAGGTTTAATGAACATCTCCCCCTGCACATTATATCCCAACTTCCCAGTCCCCTGCCCACACAGCAGCTATGGGAGTTACTGCTCCTTGAGTCATGTTGACTTCTGCAGTAAAGCATTAACATGGTAGAAAGATATAAGGCTAAATGTGCAGTGTCTAACGTTTAATTTAATATAGACTATCCAATTTATACCTGGTTTTTCATGTTCTTAACTCTCATGTCCTAGTGGGACTGAAATTGTGTCTGAAGGCTGAGCACACTCCTTGCCTGAGGCTGCAACAGACCTTTCTTCAGATTTAAAGGAGCTCAAAGCTGATTGTCCTCTAAATGGAGTCTGAACATCCTGGTTAAGCACAGGCCATCCCAATTAGGAGAATTATCTGAAGTCCTGGCTTTTTATCTACCAATGATTGTTTGGAGAGCCTAAGAGCAATTACATTTTGTTAATGTTAAGAGATAATTATTTCAAATATCTATTTCCTGAAATCTGAAGAGGCTTCTTTCCTCCATTTATTTATATTTATTTTGAACACGTATTAAACCCGTTTCTTAGAGGAGTGGTTCGGCAGAGTAAGGAATGGGTGTCTCAAGCCTTCAATACTAGCCCTTTGTCCTTTGTCTCAAAGGTGATCAGTAGTCCAAGTTACTTCTGTATCTAGGAAAGTGTTTGTTCATTGGGCAAAGTTCTGTACAGACAAAGTATTTATCAAGAAAATATTTTTATGTCCTTAATAATATATAATTGTTTTTCTTGAAAGACTTTTCTGCTGACTCTCACCTTTTTCTGGAAAACTGGATACTTCCAACCATATGGGGATGAACCATATGGGCATGAACCATATGGGGATGAACCACATGGACCACATGGACAACAATAGTACCATGCCACCTCACCATCACCCAACCACCACGGCCTCACACTCCCATGGTGGAGGAGACAGCATGATGATGATGGTATGTGTCCCAGAGGATGGCACAGGCCCTTGCCCACACACTTGGACAATAGAAACATGGAGTTTTAGCACTGGAAGGTCAAAGAGGGAAACCAAAGCAGACTGCCCCCCACCACCACACACAAGTCAAGTGACCTTCCTGTCTTCATGTAGCAACATACAGAGTGACACCAGAAACAAGACACTCTAGAATTCTTTCTTTAATACTTCCTTTTGGAATTTACCCTTTCCTGAATTAAGTCCTGTTTCATGTAGAAAAGATACAAGGACATAAGATGGGGTGGGATGGGGGAGACTCTTAGTGCCCAAGGTAGTAAAGCCTCCCCTGCTTCAAGTATTCTTCTTGTCTAGATGTGTTACTGTGAGCCTCTTTGCCTAAGACTCCCACTAGGGTCTTCAGTCTTCTCTGACTGACTTGTTTTGGTTTTCCGGCAGCCTATGACCTTCTACTTTGGCTTTAAGAATGTGGAACTATTGTTTTCTGGTTTGGTAATCAACACACCTGGAGGTGAGTAACCCTCAGATAATCTTTGAAGATGACAGTCACATGAGAGATGGTGACATAGATTTGGAAATCCAGCATCTCTTTCTGTGGTATAACCAGATCAGTTTGGTTATGCTACATAACCATCACAATTCCTATTCCCCAATCAGAAGATAGAATGCATAATTTTTGTGATCCTCCAGTGCTCATCCTTTAATTGATGTGTATGTTTTGTTGGAGTACTGTAAAATAAGTAAAATGCCAGATTAAGATCTTTTGTAATCCTTTGCTTGTTTGTTCAGTTGTTACTGGTCCTAGGCCTAAGACTACATAGCATATTCAAATACCACAGCATAACCCTGCGTTAAAAACTGTTGATCTTGGCATGTATGGTACTGAATACCTTTAATCTCAGCACTTGAGACTTCAAGGCCTGGTCGACATAGAGAGTTTGAGGATAGCCAGACTACATAAACATTGCCTCCAAAAAAAATAAGTATTCATCTCATAACTGCCTGTTTACAGATAAATAAGCCTCATATAGTGAAAGGGCTTACCCTGAATCTCAGTTTTACATTTAATTTTATATTTAATTTATATTTAAATTGCAATTGCATGAGTGTAATGGTTACTTAAACTGCTTTAAATACCAAGCTTATTTATGAAATAAACAAATTTGATTTTGGAAAAGGAGGTAGAAACAAAAAATCTCTTTAAATGCCTATCAAAATATATAGTTGACAGTTTTAAAAACAGTTTGCTTTAGCTGGATGTGGTAGTGCACACCTGTAATCCCAGTGCTCAGGATATTGAGGCAGGAGAATCTCCAGGAGGTCAAGATCAACCTGAGCTACACAACAAAACCATGTTAAGTAACTAAACAACAATTTGCTATTCCTTTTTTTTTTTAAGTATTCTATATGTGTTTGGATGTAATCAGAAAGTAAATATGTTCTTGAGCAAAGGCAGTAATTTTCAATAACTTCTTATCTCTACTGGATGGGTAAAGAGACAACCATCCAATTATTCATAAACCTACTAACATTTTTTAGTCTCCTGAGCACTGGGGTCACAGGCGGTACCACTGAGGCTGGCAGCACACTGGTTGATGATTCTGATTGTCATTCCTTCCTCCCTTAGAGATGGCTGGAGCTTTCGTAGCAGTGTTTTTACTAGCAATGTTTTATGAAGGACTCAAGATAGCCCGAGAAGGTCTGCTGCGCAAGTCTCAAGTTAGCATTCGCTATAATTCCATGCCTGTCCCAGGACCAAATGGAACCATCCTTATGGAGACACACAAAACTGTTGGGTAAGATGAAATAGTTCCAAAGGAAGGTTCTAGGGAGCTGTCTTAATAATGTAACAAAGCAGGTATTTTTTTTTTTCTGCCTGAGTTTATGATTCTATGTAACTTTAGAAGTTACTAGTAGTGGGTTGTAGGACTCGGGATCTGCAAAGGCACATACATGTTGTAAGTTGCAAGTATTTGCCACTTTGAAAGAAACTGAAAGGAATCCAATTTTTTTAAATATTTGCTAAATAGTAATGGGCATTTTAAGAATGTATAGTCAAGATATAAAAGAATGGCAGAATACAATTGATTCCTTTCTGTCAAAAGTTAGAGCTAGTCATGATGTATAACTATATCCCAACACTTGGTGAAAGCTGGAGGATCAGAATTCAAGGCCATCCTTGGCTACATAGTGAGTTTGAGACCAGCTCAAGGAAAATCAAAGGTTCTATCTTGCCAAACACACACATGCACACAGTTTCCAGCATAGCTATGATTCAATCCAGTTGAAGGCTGTGCTGACCGATGCAGCTGTTCTCCAGACCTGCAGGCTCCGGAGTCTGACGTTCCTGTCTGTTTACTCCCCAGGCAGCAGATGCTGAGCTTCCCCCACCTCCTGCAGACAGTGCTGCACATTATCCAGGTGGTCATCAGCTACTTCCTCATGCTCATCTTCATGACCTACAATGGGTACCTATGCATCGCAGTAGCAGCAGGGGCTGGGACAGGATACTTTCTCTTCAGCTGGAAGAAGGCAGTGGTAGTGGACATCACAGAGCATTGCCATTAACGTCAGACCCCACATGTGGCCTTATCATTTGCTGCAGGAAGCATCTTGGGACCGGAAGATATGATTCCCTCTCCAATCATCCTTCCTCTCTCCTGTCTCTTTATGCACACACACCTATACTGCATAGAGGCTTAGTTGACAGTCTCTGAGTAGTGATTTTTCTAATAAGATGAAATTGACATTTTTCTTGAGAAGCCACCGTAAGATGTCTTCTTCCTCATAATCCTGAGCCTTGTCTAATCCAGGTAGCTTCCTAGTTAATGACTTGGTTATCTGCTTCTCTTTATTTTTCTTGTTCTTTTGTATGTGTGGGGGGGTGCATTTTTGTTTTAAATGGATAATATGTGTATTTTGTAGGAGGGATTCTGGGTCAGTGATAGAGATTTTAACTTCAAACAGGATTGATGGTAATTCACCTAACCTGGAACTTAAATTTCACACTAGAAAGTAAGCTCCAGTCTTAACTCAGTGAGTGGGAAACATATTGTGCCTTTCTCTAGGTGTGATGTGTTATGCCAAAATACTAGTAGTTTGTGGAGAGTGTTTAGGGACTAACTACAGGCCTTGAGTTTGTGGAGTATGTATTCTTGTTCTCTCATCAACTTGTGTTCCCACTTAACACTTTGATTATAAATGAACTTATCAATCAAAACAAAAACAGGACAATCAATTTGAGACAATAGAAATAGGGATTGTTAAATAAAACCATTGGCGTTTTACTTTGATTCAGTACTTTGGTTTGTTCCAATTGAACAAAACAAGAGTTTGTAATTTTTTTTCTACATTTGTTTTTGTGTGTATTCCTCAAAACCAATGATTTTCAAACTTTAGAGTGTTTCAGAGTCACTCAGAGGGCTTGTTAAGGCACTACTTGGTAGACCTCAACTATAGAGCCACTAAATCTGGCATTTCTAAATTCCTAGGTGATGTTTCTGTTGATAAGTCTAGATGATTACCCTGAGTCAACATTAAAATAACAAAGCTGCACCTGGAAGGGACAGAGGATGGGGCTACATGGTATCAGGCCTGAGATTCTGAATTGCTGGTTGGTATATGGTAAGTCTTAGGCACATGTCACATCTAAATGCTGCTGATCAATACTTATTCATTCCACAAACATTTATTTAGCTCCAAATATGCTTTTTGTATACACACACACACACACACTTGTGTGGGACTATAGCCAAAGTACACTTATCAGCATATATAAATTCTCTAGTCCTGTCTTTTAAAGACCTGGGGTTCTTTGGAAGTAGTTTGAAGGCCAAGAGACCTTAGATCTACAGTGCAGATCAGCCAGTCAAAGGCCAGAAGGGCAAAAACCCAACTTTCTGTTTGGAGAGATGTGGGGCATGGTTTGCTAACAGCCAGATTTTTCTCAGTGTGTACTATGTAGGTTCCCATCCTCTGCTTGACCACCTTTATTATTTATAGGGATTTACATAGATTATAGTGGCCAAAACCCCTTTTCTCAATGAAGAATCCTGATGAGAGATGTCATTCTGTAAATATGTTTCTCTTATTGGTTAATGAATAAAGCACTGTTGGCAGATAGGAAGGCAAGATAGGCGGGACTAGGAGACAAGGAGAATTCCGGGAGATGTAAAGGAGAGTCAAGATGTAGGGACTTGAGAGAAGAGATCCAGACTCTCTCTCTGGTAAGATAAAACCAGGCTGGCAGGAAAACTGCTTGAAACAAAATCCCATTGAATGTTCTGTCAATCATTAGTCCATATACAGACTTGTTTCCAAACTACCTCTTTAAAGTGATTCTTCCTATGCTGATCTGTTAAACCCTACCCTCTTTGGTGCTAGATCCAGTTGTGCCTGAGAACAGAAGAAACAAACCTGCCATCTTGTTGGCCCCATATTGTAGTTCTGAAGTTTGTACTTTCTCTCTATGGGTGCCAATTAAACAATGGAGAACAAGGAATGTGTACTTCAGTGGCTTTGAATCAAGAAAAGGTTTTAAGCCTACAGGACAGAGGCTAAAAAAATAAAAAAAAAAAATCTAAGAAATTAACTTTAGAGTTTTGCTTTTTCTCTTAATTCAATCTCATTCTGCTGGTTTTTAGCACTACACAGTGAATAACAGGTACTGACAGAGCGGAACATTACGGTGCAAATAGCCTGTCCTGTCGTTATCTCAGAAGCCAAGGAATAATAAACCCAGGGGAATACAGAAACCACATTTAGTGGTGACCCTGGTGCTTTCTAGAGATCTCCAGATGAGCTGCCATAAAACACCTTCCAGGGGCTGAGATGCAGCTCAGATGTAGATCACTTATCTAACATATGCCACGCCTTGTTTAACCCCCAAAACCAGAAACAAAGCATAACTATCAGAAACAGAAACAGGTGAGAAGAACCAAGGCCAATTAGGACAAGGTGCTGTGAATCTGAAACCAAGAGAAACCTCATGGTTCTTCAGGGTAGTGTCAAGTTAGAAGCAGTCTACTGCAAAACCTGCACTTGAGATCCCTTAGCTTTCTAGAGGGTATAGTTAGTGCGGGTCTGAGGTAAGCTTAAGACCTATGCTCTTGAACTTTTATACCCAGCTTTTTCGTTTATCAAAACTCCTTTCCTCTGTGGAAAGGCTATGTCTGAATTTCTTTAGCCCTGACTACTTCTCCCTTTCTGTCTTTTATCCCAAGCAGCTTAGTTTTTAAAATCTCTCAGCTTTCTGATACAGTAGACATTACAATGTTGTGGCTATAATTATCTTACCAACTTGGTATTTACAAACCAGGTGAAGTCTTAAGTTTGTTTCAAGAAGCAGTCACCCCATTAGAATTTCTGGGAAGCTGGTTAAAGGATTACTTCCCCCTGAGTTACAGATCCTAGGTACTAACTGCAGTCCAAGACGGAAGAACACTCAATAGCCCATTGCCACATTCAGAACCTCCTCAGCATCCATCAAAATTTCTTCACTACTACGGTAGGGTTGTCCCAAATTCCCTTTCAGATCGTGGGCTCTGATTCCTTACTAAAATCAGGAGACTCCGGCAGGGTGTACATTATATCATTTAATCTTGAGCCTACCTTTCCAGCCACTTCAGATTAATAATCTAAATGGCAAGTGTGCATTTGATGTAATGCCTTTGATTGTTTAAGACTGTAAGCTCCTAGAGAGCAGAATGCTGTAATGGGACTGTTTAAAGTGTTGTGTGCAAGAGAACAAAATAAATATCTTGATTTTGTGATTCTATGCATGTATATCTACACAAAGTAGTCTCCAAATAAGCTGATCTCTTTGCAGTCTCTGGAGAGTGACCATTATCATGGGCTCTACAATGTCACTCTCTTAGATGACATGCCCTTCTTGCTTTCATCTCACTCTACTTAAAAAGCTGGGCCAGTGCCTGCCAGATCAGCATGACCTTATGCATAGGACATAGTCTTCATTGTTGAGTTCAAAAGCTAACTTTTGCCTCCTTTCTTTCATCCATAATTCATAATCTCTATATTCAATCCACTAGGCAAGAGCGTTGGGTTTCTAGGAAGTTCATTGCTGGACTCTGCCTATCATTGTGGTAATGGCAAAGTATTGCTATTATTTGTCTCCCTGCTGGACCCATAGAGCATGTAGTCATTCATCACCACTCCTGCAGTCTTTCAGTATGCTGTGATAAACATGGCCTTTTGGGACAGTGGGCTCAAATCTAGGAAAAACTATTCTAACCATTTCTAAACTTTAGTTTTCTCATTTATAAAAAGGCAGTTGATAGTCAAGTGTGGTAACACATGCCTGTCATTCCAGTACTTGACAGGCTGAGGCAGGAAGGTCATGAGGAAAGACCTGGAATACCTAGTGAAAGGTCTTCAGTTGGGGTACAGGGGAACAAAGGTGGATTTTCCTTTTGGGCAAGAATTTTATTAAGTTATTAACACCATGAAAATACAGTCAGAAGTCTGACAGGGTCTGAGTTCAGGCCTCAGCAGGCTGTCTGATTCTTGATAACAGGGAGCCGGGAGGGAATTCCAAAGGAATGTACCACTCTGGATATAGGGGAGGTGAGGAGGGGCACACACAGATGGCAGCTGTGCCCCCACCAGAAGCCCTTTAATGGCCTGGAGTCTAACAACCTGGTCTGTAAGTCTCCTAGGGAAACAGAATGGAATCACAGCACCTGAGTATTGTATTTACTGATGTTCCACAGCATGTCTATCTCCCGTAGCAGCAGGGATCTCAGAACCAGCTATGAAGATGAAGACAGAGAGGGCTGCACATGGGCATAACTTGAGCAGTGTCTAGCCTGGACTTCAAACACAGTGAGAGACTCTGTTGCAAAAACAAATGGCTATAGGTATAGTTCAGTGGTTGAAAGCTTGCCTAGTGTGCCTTTCTAAGGCTCTAGGTTCAATCCCTAGCATGCCTAGGGTGTGCACTCACACACAAAGGAGTAATAGCATCTATTTAAATTCAGAACAAAATGGGTAAGGTGCCCCTCACAAGACAGGCACATTCAAACCATGGTATGTTTTTACTATCTACTAGTTACTCTGTCCCTGAACACTTCAAGAAAATGAAAAGTCACTCTTCTGAATAAGGTCAGTAGCTTTACAAGCGCCTGACTAACCTCCTGGGTATGGGTAATCTGGAAATGAATGGGTCCCAAGGAATATGAATCGAAACATAACGATGCTGGCCCAAAATAAAGATTAGCAGTTGCAGTAAGTCCTAGTCTACTGATGAATAAGTGTCTCATTCTGTTAATAAGACAGCATGGAAATTCTAGGAAACCTAAAAATAGAAACTTCTCCCCCCCCCCCCCACACACACACTGTTTTCAGCCAAGAACACCAAAAGAGCAACTTAGTAAGGACCACTTAGTAGCATGGGCTTGGAAAGAAGACTGCCCGGGTTCAAATCTCCTACCTACCAGTCCATAGTTGAGCTCTGGTTCACTTCTGGAACTCAGAAAGGTGTGCCCTCTCAGGAATTAAGGATGCCTGCATGAATCACTCAGCACTGTCTTACACAGCCCTCTGCATGCCAGCTATTAGTACAAAAGGCAAGACATCCAAGAGGCATGAAAACTGTGGGAACTCCTACTGGGAAATTGCAGTGGAGAAGGACTGACACAGGCAGAATCTTATCTTTCTCTCTTTGCCCTTTAAGACCTTTGCAGGCGCAATAACATAAGTCCCCTATTTACAGCATGTGTCTGGATTTTATTGTGGTTTTTGTTTTTGTTTTTTAAGACAGTAAGATAACAGAGCTTAGGGATCATCAATAAAACTGTAAAAAAGCTTGGAGCAAAAAAAAGGAAACTACACATCTCCCTCTATTTCTACCATTCCATATACATCAAACTATCCAAAAGCCTGGGTAAAATCCAGCTAAGGAGTCTCTTTGAAACTTGATTCCAGATGTTCTGACTTCCACAGCTGGTGGTTCTGTCCCTGGATTTTTATGGTAAAATGGAGCACGGTGCAAAAGTATCCAGAGTTCAGATGGGTTCCTGCTGCAAGAATTCTTAGACAAGTCCCAAGGGAAGAACAGTAAGAGTGCCTCATGCTGTTAGAAATTCTTGTGTTTCCCTCATTGGAAAAAGCCTTCCTGTAAGTGGATTTGACTGACAGTTTGTTCATTAGAATCCAATCTCCATGAGGGTAGGAGTTTTGTTTTGTTTGATTTGTTTTTTGTTTTGGGGTTTTTGTTTGCTTATTTGTTTGTTTTTGACATTTTGAGACAAGATTTCACTCTGTAGCCCAGACTAGCCTCCAATTCATAAGACTCAGCCTTCCAAATGCTGTGTTACAGCCATGAGCACATTCATCTGGGATCTCTGTTGCTTCCAGGATGGTCAGCAGTCACCAAATACTGAATAAACAAGTGAAGGGAAAGTCCAGGGCATCAACTCCAAGTGTCCGGGTTTGGGATCATTTTGTAAAGACAAGGACAATGGCACCATCAACTCTGGTGGCATTTACCTCTCAGAGCTGGGGACTTCATTGCTACTACCTTTAGGGATGTCTCACATTCTTCCAAAAAATATATTTATTTTTAAAAACAAAAATCAGGTAAGCTTTCCACAGTCCAATTTTCCAGAAACAAGCCAGAATTTGGCTTCTATCTTACCAGAAAAGTTGAACAGCAGTAATTTCATGCAGACATTATTTCTCCCTGCAGGAGACAGAAAACATTCTGCTTCGTTGTACACACTTAATTCTCTAAATCTGTTCTGTATTTCTGCCATCATTTTATTCCATTCCAGAGGTCTGGCATGCGAGAGAATCCATCTCTAAAACTCTAAGTTTCCAAACTGAGATGAGCGGTTGTTTGGCTTAGGTTGAGGTTTATAACCAATGCGATCATTAATCATTTGTTCACGGCTCTTGGGGTCACTGCTGAGCCCAGCAGCCCCTTCTCCATCACTGGTTCCTGCACCTTCCACATCTTCCTTCTGTTTCTTACGGGTCTGAAAGTATATATATATATAAAAAAAAAAATTAGGAAAAACATTCTTTCAATTAATAAATGTTTAGCTAGCATTTACCATGTGATAGGTATTGGGTAAGGGGCAGAGGTAGGGGCTAATAAAAAACAAATTGATATCCCAAGTTTAGAATAGTTACAAAAAGGATACAGGCATGCAACCTTAGAAAATGTAACTGTCTTCCAGGATAATCACTGTCTAGAAGGCAATGGGCATGGAGACTATTAATTATATACATGGCAAGTTCAAGGCTATAATGGGGAAGTCCACAATGCCAAAGAGACACAAAAAGAGGGGTGAGGAATTTAGGGTACAATACAAAGGCCCAGCAGGAAGCTAGAGTTGGAGATAGTGGATACAGTGCAACAAGAGGTGTTTCAAGCAAACTATTTTTAATGAGAACAAGTGAAAAATGACATAACTAGTAGTCACCAAAACCCACAGTCTTGATGGACATGGTGGCGCATGCCTTTAGTCCCAGCACTATGGGAGACAGGCAAGTGAATCTCTGGAATTCTAAAGAGTGAGTTCCAGGAAAGCCAGGGTGGTTACACAGAGAAACCCTGTCTCATAAAATAAAAAAATAAACCTACAGTCTGTCTGGCTCCAGACAACTATGGTAACACAAGATGAGATGGTGCTACCTGAGGTAGGTCTCAGTTTGGGAGTTTCCTTCTGGCTTTTAAATTTTGTAAATTAATTACCTGTTTATTGATGATGCTAGGGACTGAACCCAAGGCCTCATGCATGGTAGACAAGCAATCTACCACCAAACAATATCCCAGCCCCTGTTTTGTTTTTCTTTTGTTTTGAATTTTTTGGAAAACTTCCTGTGTTCTTGATACCACTACTGCAACTCACAAGCAATAGACCTAATGCAATGAAAAGAAAATCTATCACAGATAGATGGCTTTGGGTGTCAATGTAGCTGCCCCACATTGCATCAACAGTTGCTACACTTGTGTCCTCCTGAACGAGAAGGGTTTCCTACTTCCACTGCAGAAAACTTTCTGATATGGATGTTACTCCCTCTGTGGCTACTTTCCTAAAGTTTCTTTAAGGCATTGGCTGGACTATCCCTAAGTAACCTATAGCTTTCCTGACAACTCTTTCCTAAGAAGGGAAGCCCTTCTCTGCTGTGTTTAGAACACTGCTGCTGGGCTATTGCGAGTTCAAAGCCAGCCTGGCCTACATGGTGAAACAAGAATTATGTTATAGTTCCACCACCGCAAGTGCCTGAGTTTCCTACACTAAAACCACTTACTTCATGGGTGTAGATTTGACTGACTTCCAAAGCCATGATAGTTCTCACCACCACTGTAATCCTTTATACCATTGCCGAATTCCCTTCACTGTAGCCACCATCTATTCAGCCACTGCCATATCTACCTGAGGGTCCACAGCCTGAGCCTGTTTACAGATCTATGCAGCTACCACAGCCTGCTTCATAACAACCTGTGCTGCTACCACCCCATCACTGTAGCTTTGCCTTCTACCTACATTGCCACCATGACTAAAGCTATTTCCAGCATTTCCAAAGTTTTCTTCACACACTAAAAAAAGTCACCAGATCCACCCCTGCCCCTGGCCTCCTTGTTAGCCAGTAGATACCCTCTTGTTAAAAAAGGGCCTTTTCCATGTCAAAATGATACCAATGAATACTGTTATATCTGAATCAACTGTATGATAATTGGCACAAGTTACAAGGACAAATCCTCTCTATTCCACTGTTTTTACAACTACTTTCAATCTTGCTGAAGAGTTCAAAGCAGTCTCTTAAAGTATATACTTCTGAATATTTTTTTACTATCACCAATAAAAATCTTCTTCAAGCTGATGTGCACAACGTGTCCTCTCCAGAAAGGGCTCTTTGGTTCCACTCTGCCTGTCAACCTTGTGCAGATGAGCAAACACTGATCTATCTGACAATACCATGGTCCATGAACACTTTGTTTAGGGCTTTCTTGAGACCGGACAATTTGTGAGTAAGCCCCACTTTCCAAACATTCTCTTATACTCTTATCTGTACCTTCAATGCTTAGGTCAATACAGTTTAACCAATCAAGACTTTGGTCCCTCTGATTCACAGCCTCCTGTGGTGGCAACAAAGGCTGCAGTCAGGCCATAGGAGACCAGACTGACTTTACAGCCATTTGGAGACTGGACTAAGGACTTTCATAAAAGAGGTCCTGTTCTAAGTCACAATTGACTACAGATTCCCAAAGCCACCACTCCCTGACTATAAAAATGGCATTAGATGATAATAAGTCTAAAAATGATAGATGTTCTATCTACAGTTTTTTTCTGAAGGCACAGCTCAGCTACTCTGATCACTGAAATTATGATGGTAATTCTACCACCTACTGGTGAACTGTGACTCCTCAAATCCCAGCACCAATGAATTATAGTCTATCAAATAAGGCTGGGATGAGGATCCCTTTTCCAAAATGCTTGGGACCCAAAGTATTTAAGGTTAATTCCCCCCCCCCAGACTTTGGAAAGTTATGCCTTGGCTGTAGAGATCCAGCATTGCTAAGCTAAAAATCCAAAACCTAAAATGCCCCAAACATGAAATTTCCTATTGTTACCTTTTACATAACAATATAAAGAATTTGGCCAGTAAAATGGCTACACAAGCCTAACAATCTGAGTTCAATCCCCAGAACCCATGATGTTTAAAAACTAAATAATAAAACAAAACGGGATGTGGTGGTGGACAGTGTAACCCCAGCACTCCTCACAGCAAGCTAGGGGGCAGGGACAGTCTAGAAGCTCACAGGCAAGCTAGCCGGAAGTATACAACAGAAACAGGAAGGGGAAGGAAGGCAGAAAAAGAAGTGACATTAAGAAATTCACCCCCCAGATATCTTTATAAAAACTACCTCTAAGAAGCAAAGGAATCCCTGAGAATACTCAACTGGAATGAAGTCATTTTAAAATTTTCATGTTATGAACAACTACAGGCTGTTCCAGAGGTGTAAATAACTTTAGTAAAAACTGGAATAGCAAGGAGTAGAGACGGAAAGATGACTCAGCACTTAAGACCTGGGTTCAGTTCCCAGCACCCACAGGGCAGGTCACAACCACCTGTAACTCCAGTTCCAGGGGCTCTGGTGCCCCCTTCTGGCCTCCACTGCACACATACGAGGACATAAGTTGTCAAAACATTCATAAAGATTTTTTTTTTTTAAATAAAGACCAGGGCTAGGCATGACGGCACAAGCCTTTAATTCCAGCACTCAGAAGACAAAAGCGGGGAATCTTTGTAAGTTCAAGGCCAGCCTGGTCTACAGAGGGAGTTTTAGGTTAGCCAGGGCTACACAAACCCTGTCTTGAAAAACCAAACAAACAAAAACAGATAGACAGACCAGAGCCAGGCATAGGAAGAAATGCACAATTACAATGTTAATACTTGAGAGGCAGGGGCAGGAGAAGTTGGGACAGCCTGAGCTATTTATTTGAACCAGAGAAGGAGGAAAAGAGGAAAACCCACTGTTTCTGTTTTCATTTTAACTCATTCTAAGAGTGTCCCCCCTTTCAAAGCTGCTTGAAAGGACACCAAACTACTTCCTTTAGTGGGAAGGCTCACTTAACAATGAGCTGATACTGCCAGCATTGTGATTCATTACAACTGAATTTAAACAATTCTTGAAACTCATCCTTTGCAGAACTGAAGATGAATGCCTATAATCCCAGCACTCAGGAGTCTAAGGCACAAGATCACAATGAGTTCCAGGCCAACCTGGGTTACACAAGGAGACCCTGCCTCAAAAACACAAAAGAGAGTAAAACCTCATCCTTACCAATATTAATTCACCCCCGACCCCCCAGACAGGATTTCTCATTGTAGCTTTGTAGACCAGGCTGGCCTCGAACTTACAGAGACCCACCCATCTCTGCCTCCCAAGTACTGGGACTAAAGGCATGTGCTGCTGCCACCACCACCTGGCTTCCGATATGAATTCTTAAACAGCAAAAAAGAATGGGACTGGCAAGACAGCTCTGTGAGTAAAGATACTTGCTTGCCAAGCTCTGAATTAAATCCTAGGAATAATCATGGTGAAAGAGGGGAAATAACTCCTGCATGTAATGCTCTAGCCACATGGAGCCACAGCATGCTCCATGGCATGAGGACACTCTCATACACACATGCTGTGGAATACTCCCTTTGTACACTGTAAAGATTTGTCACTCAAACTGGTTTAATAACATCCTGATTAGCTGGTGGCCAGGCAAAAAGTATAGGTGGGTCAGTCAGCCAAACTGAGAATGCTGGGAGGAAAAAGGGTGGAGTCAGGCAGCCCCCAAGAAAGCAGGACATGCAGAAAATGAGGTAACAACCCATGAGCCACATGGCAAAGCATAAATATGAAATATGAGTTAATTTAAATGTAAGTTAGGTAGTAACAAGCCTGAGCTATACTGGCCATACATTTATAATTAATATTAAACCTCTGTATCAGTTACTGGGGAACTGGTAGGCAGGACAGACACTTCCACCAACATACACACACAAACACAGAGAGGAAAGAGACAGAGACAGAGAGCAAAAACTGATGATACTTTATAAGTATTACAGTTACTGGAATGAAGAGCAAGAGAAACCTAAGTTGTCCGTCTTCATATGAATGATGTAAAGCCAATAATGCAGGGTACATGCAAGATGTAATGTCCTCTGCCATGTAAAGTACCTCCTAGAGCAGCAAATGCAAATAGGCTTGTAGGGAGCCCTTGTCTGGTCTGGGAAGAGTCCAGAGTTTAATATACTAATCCTTGCCTTCAAGGAGCTTCTGGCCCAGCTGAAGAAAACAGACCATCAGAGAGTTAAAACAGAGAGTGGTGGCACCTACAAGAGGTAGACATGGGGTGGTGAGTGAACTTAATCCAGCTGGGGGCTGGAAGGGGCCAAGTCAAGATGAGGAATTGGCCTGATGAAGTGGCAAGGCACATTAAGCACTGAGATTAAAGACAACTTGGCAGATAAGGTAGGGAAATGAGCAAGGACCAGGTCATATACCATAATTAGGAAGCTTCTGTTGTGCCTGGTCCCGCCACCACCCTTCAGCCCCAAATAAACACATTGATGCTTATATTAAGTATAAACTGCTTGGCCGATGGCTCAGGCTTCTAATTGGCTATCTTTCTCTCTCTCTCCTTCTCTCTCTCTCTCTCTCTCTCTCTCTCAGTTATTAGCCCATATCTATTAATCTATGTATTGCCACAAGGCTGTGGCTTGCCCGTAATCTGGCATGTTACTCCTTCAGCCACTACATGGTGTGTGTCTCTCTCTCAAGGTTTCTTTCTGCATCCTCTCCCAGAATTCTCCTTGTCTGGTAGCCCCGCCTATACTTCCTGCCTGGCTACTGGCCAATCAGTGTTTTATTCATCAACCAATGAGAAACACATATATTCAGAAGGACATTACCCCATCACTTAGGAATTTGAACTTCATCCTAAAGGCATGGAAGAATTTATTCTTATTAATGGATATCTAATAGTGTATGGCAAAGCCAGATTTACAAATATACAGCTGCCAGGTGTGGTAGTGTTTACCTTTAACCCCAGTACTCAGGGGTCAGAGGCAAATGTTCAAGTTCAGGTCCAGCCTGGTCTGCCATGGCTACACGATAAAATCCTGTCTCAGACAAAAACAAAAAACATAAGCAGTACTCCACTGCAGATTAGATTCTAGAAATTCAGTGGTGAAGAAAATGAGTATGAAGTCTTTAATCAAAATTCCTAATGTGAAAGACTTTACAATAAACAAGCAGATGATTGCAAGGAGCAGGTGAATGTTCAGTGTGAGTATTTGTTTAATATGCACAAGGCCCTTGGTTAATCTCTAGCACTGAGAGGAGAAATAATGGTTAACTCCAAGCTATAACAAATGCTAATGGCTATGATGTTGCTCATTTGGTAAAGTGTTTGCCTAGCATGCACAAACCTGAGACCTAAGGGGAAACATAATACTATTCTGCTAAAGGAAAACAGCCATAAAATGATTCCTAATAACACACTGTTATACCCACAGATCAGTGTCTCGCTCAGCCCCATTAGAGAAGTTTCTTCTTGCACTAGATAGGAATTACCACAGAGACCCACAACTGGACAATGTGTAGAAAGTGGAAGACTTTGGAGCACTCAGTCCTAAACGAAATGTCTTCCTCAAACCCTTCCCCTCAAGGCTCAGGGATCTATATGGAAGAGGAGGAAGAACTAGAGGTGAAGAAGGTTGACTCCAAGGAAACATTATCATCAGACACAACTGAACTGATGCATGTATACACTCACAGAGACTGTGGCAGCACGCATAGGTTCAAGCCAGACAGGGTCTCAGCACTAAGGGAGTAGACAGACACAGGGCCCCACCCCTAACCAAGAAGCTATCTGCAATTGGCACTACTGCCAAGGGGAGAATCAGGTTTCTCCAATGTCTCTAGCGTCACTAGATATTTCACACACTCCTGAGAAGATGCCATACCTACGAGGACTTGGCCAACACAAAATGAACTCAGTGGTATTTTTGTGGACTATTTGTTTCTTGTTTGGGGGATTTGCTCTGTTGTTGAGAAAAGAACATAAAGATAGGCAAGTAAGGAGGTAGGAAGTATACAGGAGGAATTGGGGCTGGGGAAAACATGATCAAAATATATAAAAAAGGTTAATAAATAAAATAGTAACGTGCTGTCTGGGCGGTGGTGGTGCATATCATTAGTCCCAGCACTCAGGAGGCAGAGGCAGGCAGATCTCAGTGAGTTCAAAGCCAGCCTGGTCTACAGAGTGAGTTCCAGGACAGCTCCATAGCTCCATACCAAGAAACTCTGTCTCGAAAAACAAAAAAAAAAAAAAAAAAAAAAAAACTGTAAAAGGATCATTTTCTATTGTTTCGGGCCACCAAGTTCTTTGCTGTGATAGTAACAGAAAATTCATTTTTGTTTTGACATGCCTGTAAAGCATCCAAATAGATTTTAAATAAGCTGCTGGTAGAGTCTGAGATTCTGAAAGTAATTACTGTCTGAAATATCCCCTAAGAATGAAAGTGAATTCCTACTTCCAAGTCCTTTCGAATGCTCTCAAACTCTTCGATGTCATCGAGCTTGAGCTCCAGGCGTGTTGGTTTTCGTCGCAGCATACTGAAATCCACAGTAGGAGTCAGACCCAGTGAACTCGGTCTATCAAAAAACGGCAAGAAAGGAAAAACACTTCGGGTACCAAGTCTTAGCTACAAACATAAATTCGTAAACACAAACAATAAAATAAATGGAACATTAACTCATTTAGATTTCATGCACACTTCAAACCTTTAAGCATCTTTATTGCTGGGGGCTAAAGAAATGGTTCTATGGTTAAGAGCACAGTTTCAGCTCTCTGCTTATGACTGCCTGTAACTCCAGCTTCAGGGGATCAGATGCCTATGCCCACCTTGGATACCTGCAAGCATGTGCATCTACCTACATACACAAAATTAAAAATAAAATAAAATCTTTAAAAAACAAAACTCAGCAAACAGCCAGTAGAGAGTCTAAACAGCAATCTCTTCCTTCTTGCTTTCTTCCTTTCTTTCTTTCTTAAACTTTTTGAGATGCTTTATTAAAACCTGGGGAACACCACAGATAACAACAGCACAGAACCTATTCTCTGTCCAGTTATAGGTCAGAAACCAGGCCCCAGACTCAGGTCTCAAGACCCTTCCAGCTGTGAGCTCCCAATCGTGACCCCCAAAAATCACCCTAATCTCATGCTCTAATCACCTACAAAAAAATATACTAGCTAAAAGAAGTTAGCTGAGTGAAATGGCACGTAACTACAGTCCTAACTACTTGGAGAGCAGCATAGAAACATAGGGAGACCCTGCATGGGAAAAAAAAAAAAAAATAGACAAGAGACAAAAGGAAGAAAGTTGGGGAGAAGACTGGGCAAAAAAGAGCACTTCTTGCCCAAGCATGTAGATCTGAATTCAAAGCCCAACATCCACATAAGCAGCCAGGCACAGCCAGGCAATGGTAGCACACCCCTTTCATCCCATCACTTGTGAGACAGAGGAAGACAAATCTCTTAGTTTGAGGCCAGGCTGGTCTACACGGCAAGTTCTGGAACAGCCAAGGATACACAAAAACCGTCTCAAGGAAAAAAAAAAGCTAGGCATGATGTCATAGGGGCGTGTGACCTGAGCTATGGAAGCTGGGGTCTGCTGACTCTGGGGAAGCCTGGCTCTGGATTCAGTGGTGAGATCCTGTCTCAAGGAATAAGGCAGAGTGGGAAAAGCAGGACACCCAGCAAACATCCTCAGGCCTCAAAGTGTATATACCACACTCATAGTCACATACACACAAAGGAAAAGGGGAAATGGCTAACTATCTCATCTTAATTCAGCATAGTTAGGGAAAGTAGACAAGCCATACATTCAATCTGCTTTCTATAACCATTAACAGAGACCGTGACCATGCCTGGATCTTAAAACCATGGCTTAAATCTCATGAAAACCAAATTTACCAATTCACAGGATTATCCACACGATCTAATGAGGTCCTAGATGGGTAAACCATTCATTAATCAAATGCTTCTTGTGCTGACGTTTAAAGTCAGTCAGTCACTGTCGAAACCTGTGGGGAAAACAGACAACAGGCTATGCCAATGTAGTAAAAAAACAGAACTCTGAGCAGAGTCCTTCAACAGCACTACAAGAACGCTTAGCCCAGGCTGGGCTGAACGGGAGTGGCTAGGGATGTGTTTGTGAATTTGAAGGGTAGGCAGATAGAGAGAGACCAATAAGGCCACAGAAATTCAAATCATTTCATATGGCAAATGAATGTGTTACCAAAGCCCATGTTTGTTTCAAAACAAAAAACTAAATGGAGCTTAGTACCCATGGAAGGTATCATCTTTATGTCCTCCACAGTACCCATAAGAAGCAAACAACAAGTTCTGGGATAAACTGCGCTATCCAAATAGAGAAAAATGAAATGAACTTTTCCTGAGTCATAGACACTGCTATTATTTTTTCTCTTTAAAAACGTTTGCTTTTTGAAAAAAAAAAAATATAATTGTTTATTGGGTGTTGGTAGGAGCACACAGCTCCCTGAATAAAGGTCAGAGGACAACCTTTGGGAGCAAATTCTCTCTTTCTACCATCAAATTTGGTACAGGCTCCTTTAGCCACTGAACCATGACACATTCCCATCCTTTGTGTTATTTTACTACAGAAGCCTTATAAAATTTGAAAAACTATTCCACTTTTGTAAAATTGAAGTAAACAGTTTAGTTAACAATATCAGCCTCCTATAAAAGTTACACATTAAATGATAACAATCTAAGTGAAAGTGCTGCTATAGTATACATACATATAAATTACTATTGTATGCAACTAGAATAAAACAAAAGAGTATGATGTATACAAATGAAGAAACATTTACCTTTCTCTCGGGAGGCTTAACACAGCCAGGGATAGATATAATCAGCACAAAACACTGACTCATGACATTTCAAATCACTTTACTCTAAATCAGCTACTACCTTCTGAAACTACAGCCCTAAGTAGAGAGATGAAAGAGGAATCTAGCTCCAAAGAAAAAGGAAGAAATTCTATTTGTGTATACACAGAAAGCCTCGCCACTAGAGGGCGATAATGAGTGCGGGTTAAAATAACTGCTCTCAACCCGCCACTTTAATAATCTCAACTACAGTATAGCTCCAGAACGACGGATTAGCTTCATTTCTCACAATTTATTTTATGTACTCTGCTGTCACATAACTTGAGTGACTAAAATAGAATAAACTCCTTGCTCATAATTTGGCATTTAGTAAGCACTCGAAGAGGAAATGTCCCCATCATTGCATTTGTTTGGGGAAGAGGCTTTTAAGAGTGGAAGTGAGTCTGTGCAATCCCCATAATCTTCATGTAAGGATAAAAAGAAAACCTTATATCGGATGGCCTAGCAATCAGTCGAACGAGAGTTGCTGGTATGCACTCTCCCTGACGCCTCCCTGGACCCTTTATCTCAAAGAACACAGACAAAGAATACGTTGTAGACAAATAAGCCAAAAACAAACTAGACCGCAGTTCCCCCGCCATGTCTTTATTTTAGTCCTAGAAGACTCTTCGAGTTTGATGTCTTCTTGAAGCCCAAAGTAACTGCGAAGCCACCCTGTTAGGAGGGGCCCCCGGGAAGACTTCCGTGCCGTCGTGGACAACAATCCGCTTTCCTAGCTCCAAGGCTGCACTAGTCTAGGGAGAGATTTCCATGGCAAAACAGCCCTCCGCTCCGCGATGACGGAAGGCCTCCCGAAGGAGAGCAGAGACCCTCGGTTCGCTCCTGATTACAATCGAGATCCACGAACCTACCTCTTTCAGGCCTCTGCAGCTTCCCAGAACCTCAACTCCCACCAAGAAGCCATTGCTGCGCCGCCAGAACTACACTTCCCAGGCTGCTCTGCGCCTCTCTTCCCACACGCCTCTTCTCCCGCGAGTTTGTGGCGAACGCTCTAAGAGGCCACGCCCCTCAACGCCAGCCGATGCTCGACAACTACGACGCCCAAGATACTTCGCGACTCCCAGAGCACGGAATACGCTCCTGATACGTTTCCGGCCAGTGACGCACTTCCACTTTGCTGGGCGCGCGGTGGACGGTCTGAAAAGCTGAGCGCGGATTTGGCTAGGGCCTCGAGGCTCCAGAGCCCGGCATGGCCTCCTCACGAGCCTCCTCCACGGTACGGGGCTCCGGATCAGCTCAGGCCGGTCCTCTCCCAGAGAGGGCGGGGTCCCCGCGGGAAGGGGCCGTTACCTCGCGGGTCAGGGCGGAGGAGGAAGGCTGAGGGACCGTAGAGTGGAGCAGCCTTTTCCTGAATCCTAAACGCTTTCGTGTGCTGCAGCTCTTTTTGCACCGCTCTCACTTCAGCCCCGAGCAGTGAACACTTTCCCTGACTGCTCCAAAACACAGTGCTTAGAAGTGGAGACTTGTCTTGACTTAAACTGTATGACTTGGGACTTAGGATGAGGTCTCCCAACTTCTAATCGGCTCTGGAAGTATTGGAAATGTGTATTCCAGTAACATTGTGACTTGGTGCGCCGAATACCACCCTGATTGTTTAGGTTATTCTTGGAATTTGTCCAGTGATGAACAGTTATTTTTGTAAAACCGGAGATTGCATTTCCAATAAAATAAACGGGCCCCGAAGCAAACCATATACTTCAAACAGAAATTGATTCGTTTTATTTGTCCGCCAAACTTAACGAGAGACTAAACTCGTATAAAGTCAATCTTGACGGATACCCACCTTGCCCTTTAGTTTTTGGAGGAAATAAAAGGAAAGCATTAGCCTCATTCATTTGGGAAGCATGGTTTACTAGGATTAAGCCTTAACCGGGGTCTTTGATTTAACAGGCAACTAAAACTAAAGCACCTGATGATTTAGTTGCTCCTGTTGTGAAGAAACCACACATCTATTATGGAAGCTTGGAAGAGAAAGAGAGGGAACGTCTGGCCAAAGGAGAGTCTGGGATTTTGGGAAAAGAAGGACTGAAAGCAGGCATTGAAGCTGGAAATATTAATATAACCTCCGGTAAGACGCAATTGTGAATTATCTTTCCTCTTTTTTTTTTTTTTTTTTTTTTTTTTTTTTTTTTTAAACTTCCAAGGACTCCAACCCATGCTAGGCAGGTAGGTGTTCCATCACTGAACCGCACATTCCCATCCTTTGGCTAGTCAGTTGCCTTTGAACTGCCTTTTGTCTCCTCCCGGGTACTAGAACCAGGTGTACACTACACTGCCTACACCTTTGATGATCCAGTTTTCTGAAGAACACCTTCCCAGACCAAGTAACATTAAGATTTATTGGGTCAAAACCTATTCTTGTCCTGGGGGGGCTAGTTCAGGTGACAAAAGGTTTGCTCTGCGACCATTGGGACTTGAGACTGATTTCTCAGAACCCATGTTTCATTTTTTTGTTTTGTTTTAGGGGACAGGGCTGAGGAGTTAGAGGTTTAGCTCAGTGGTAGAGCATTTGCCTAGCAAGCACAAGACCCTGGGCTCAGTCCTCATCTCTAGAAGAAAAAAAAAAAAAAAAAAGAATAACAAAAAGGGGCTGGAGAGATGGCTCAATGGTTAAGAGCATTGGCTGCTCTTCCAGAGGTCCTGAGTTGAATTCCCAGCCACTACATGGCAGCTCATAACCATCTAAAATGGGTTCTGATGCCTTCTGGCATGCAGGCATACATGCAGATAGAGCACTCATATATAAAATACATACATAATTAGATTTTTAAAGCTAACATGGTGGTACCTAATTGTAATCCCGATGTTGAGGAAACAGATTGACTTCCACATGTGTGTACTCACTCCCTTACTCTTTTGTTCTTACCATTGCATCTTCGACTTTGCTTTCTTGGCATTATCCAATGAGTGTTTTTCTTATATTTCATATAGTTCCTTACACAAATTACTGGCAGTCTTTGAAAACTTAAGTGGGTGTTTGGATTTATCGGTTGTATTTGTCTTTGGGAGATGTAACCAACTTCTGGCATTGATACATTACTGTAGCTATTTATAGTATTCTCTCCTTTACTTTTCTAGTTTGTTTCTTTGTGTCTTTACATTTCAAGACAAGGTTTCTCTGTATAGCCCTGGACTGCTCCAGAACACTGGGATTAAAGGCGTGTACCACCACTGCTGAGCTTTCTAGTTATTTTTTTTTTCAACCTAGATTAAAATAATCTTTTTGGTATAAAGGAAAAGTTAATTTAAAAAGATTTTTTAAAACTCAATGAGTGTCTCTATGAACTAGAAAATCCTGTATTGTGAATTGGATTTATTTCTTCTGTAAATGATACCATGATGTGTAATTATAGCCTGCATTTTCCCCCTTGTATATGTTGAGGTTTGTCTCTTTATTTTACTGTCAAGAAATGTATTGATTAATTTCAGTTTTTGAGACAGGATCTCCACATAGCTCAAGCTGGCCTAGAAGTTGTAGCAGTCTTCCTACCATGCCCTCCTTATACTGGATAATAGATGGGAGCCACCATGTCTAGCTTAACCGTTTTATATTTTTTTTAAAAAGTTACGCATATTTGCCATAAGAAATTAGCACAGAAAGGTAAAGTTTAGTGATAAGTGCTTGCCTGGCATGAAGGCACACACCTGTCTTCCTATCAACTCATATCCTGGAGGCAGGAAAGGTACAAGGACAGAAGCATCCTAGACTGCATAGCTTGAGGATCAGGTCCTGTCTACACACCGCTCAGGAGGTGGAGACAGGCAGGAAGCAACTCAGGGCTGCTCCTGGTTCTCTGATCTTCCAGGTTTTACCGGCTCCTGGGTTTTATTGATTAAGATTAGTTAGATTTATGCTTCAGACATTTTATTAATAAATAATTAAATCTTACCTGAATATTTATATTGCAAGACATGGAGCATTTTAAATGTTTTTCATGTTACTTTGTCTTTTGTTTTTTAATTTAAATCAGCAACTCAAGATAGTGGATTTTTGTTGTTGGCCCTTCCTTTCTGACAAGGTCTGTATGGCCCATGTTGTCCTGAAAGTCACTGTGTAGCCAAGTATGACATTGATTTCCTGGTCTTCTTGCCTCCTTGCTGAGATTATAGGCATGCATTGATCTCTTTTCTATTTTGGCCAAACAACAATTTTAAATAATCAAACATTTTAACACAGTATAATCGAGAGATAAAATTATTTGATACTTGATGCTGAGGAATTTTTTTTTTTAACTTTTAATGATGGAAACAAAAATATACCTAAAAGTGAAGCTTCTGGAAAAACCATTAGTTCTTCCCTGTCTTGTATCGTTCCTCAAACTTGACCTTGGCTTCCCTCCTTGCCTTGTGTTTCAGGGCTGGGTCTCTAAAGACATCCTTGTTGACAACAGTTTTGTCCAAGGGGATGTCCACAGAGTACCTTGTGGGCATGAGGTGGTTGTAGTTATAAACTTTCACAAAAGACTTGATCTTTGATCGCTTGGAGATTTTCTTCTTGCCCATGGCAGCTGTCACTTTTCGGGGATAGCGGTCAATTCCAGCCACCAGGGCATGGCTGTAAGGGCGGTCTGAGATGCCATCGTCAATGTTCTTCACGATGACGGCTTTGCATCCGGAGTAGCTTCCTGCCAGGACCAGCACCACTTTCCCGGGTTTCACGAACTTGCCCATTTCGACAGCAAGTAGCCGGTTCCCAGCAGTAAGGAAAGAAGGCCACTTCCGCTAACCTCAGCAGATGCTGAGGAAATTTAAAAAATTTTTCCCCATAACAATCATTATGTCTCTATAAAAACAAAAAACTTTTTGTAAAGATATAAAAATTTGGCCAGGCTCACACCTTTAATCCCAGAAGAACTCAAGAGGCAGAGGCAGGCAGATCTCTGTCAGTGTGTGGCCAGGCTGGGCTACAGAATGAGTTCCACAACAGCCAGAGAAACTCTGTTTCAAAAAGGCCAAAAAAAGAAAATATAGACATCACAATTCATAACAGGATTTTGAGGCAGTGTTCCTTACTGTTGCATGGCGTGACAGTAAGTGCATTGCAGAGTTGCACGGGCTCAGAACCAAGGCTGCAGCAAAGATTCATGATGCAACCTGCAGGTATTGCCAAAAGCAACCATTATTTGTTTTGAATTTGATTTTGGACTAATTGTTTGTCACTGCATCTTTAGAAACCCTTCAGTATTGCTGAATTCTTTGTCAGCCCCACAGTTAAATACCTTATGGCACCTCTATCCAGTATAAGACACACAGACTCTGATTGTTTCTTTCCCCCATGTTGCCTGTTCTTTGCATAGGGGAGGTATTTGAAATTGAGGAGCACATCAGTGAGCGGCAGGCAGAAGTCTTGGCAGAGTTTGAAAGAAGAAAGAGAGCCCGGCAAATCAATGTTTCCACAGATGACTCAGAGGTCAAGGCTTGCCTTCGAGCCTTGGGAGAACCTATCACACTTTTTGGAGAAGGTCCTGCTGAACGAAGAGAAAGGTGTCCTTTATAGTTTTTTCAATTAATGGCAAGGTTCTGGTTTGTGTTCTGTCAAACCCTTTCCTGCTCTCATGTGAAGTTGTTTGTTTGAAATGCGGCTGTTTTGTTATTTGTTGTTTTCTAAGATGTATTTTTAATCATGTAAGTCTGTGTGTAGGAATGTGCACATGAGTTCTGGTACCCTGGTAGTCCAGAAGAGGGTGTCATGCCCTGGAGCTAGAGTTAGAGGCACTTGTGAGATGCCTGATGTGGGTTCTGGGAACTAAACTTGGGTGCCCTGGAAGAGCAGGAAGCACTCTTTTAAAGGATACTTTTTAAAGTCCTGTTTATTTGTGTATGTAGACATGTATGTGCCTTCAGGCGTGGAGGTCATGGAACAACTTGTGAGTTTGTGCTCTCTTGCCATGTGTCCCAGTGTGTGGCCCTGTCAGCAGGCTTGGCAGTAGGCACCTTACACACCGAGCCACCTCCCCAGTCTGACTCAGGGTATAATTGTTTCTTTCACCTGCCATGTCTATTGTCCTTTATCATTGTGCCCCTTAGATGAATGTTTTGAGTCCCATCTGTCATTACTTTAACTTGGGTCCACCACAGTGGCTGGGCTTGCTGTGACACTAACATCTGCTTTTCTACCTCTTCGTCTCCCACCATGTCACTCTCATTGCAGATTCTCCTGTGTATAGCGTGAATAGCTCTGGTGACTGGACCCCCACTTGAATTTCCAGCTTTGGGTGGCAGTCACCAAGCTCCTCCTGTAACCCATATTCCAGCTCTACTGAACCATTTGCAGGTCTAAGCGAAGCCTGTTTTCTTGACTTTACATTCGTTAACCCTCCACCTCAACTGTCATTTTTCTGTTTTGACCATTTGGCCTGAATGAGCACTTGACACCTTTTCTGTGAAGCCTTCCCTGATACTTGCTTCACACTCCTCCCAAGCCTAGATTCCATACTTCTTCCGTATTCCTTTCACATTCTGCTCATTGCTGTCTAATGTTGATTTTATTGAAACAGGATCTCAGTGTGTTGCCCTGACTATCCTAGAACTCTAGGCTAGCCTGGAACTCAGAACAATCCTCCTACCTCCACCTCTAAGTGCCAGGGTTAAAGGTGTGTGCCATCAGACCTAATTCCTTTAAACTATCCCCCCTATACTGTCTTCAAGACAAGATTTCTCTCTCTAGCCCTAGCTGTCCTAGAACTCACTCTATAGACCACATTGGCCTTGAACTCAGACCCACCTGCCTCTACCTCTGGAGTGCTAGAATTAAAGGTATGCGCCACCATGCACAGCTTGGAACTATTCTTAATTATTAAATATATGTAGCTCCTGAATCATGGCACTAAGTAGGTTTCAGCTGTCCTTGAAGACTAAGTGGCAGCCATGTATGTAGGTCAGTTGACTCTAAATGGAAGAGAATAATTGCTGATAGCTGCATTTAGAAAGCCTTCAAATAGACCAGAGTGGAGTGGGGTCTGAGAGGGAAGAATAAAGGATGCACAGCCTTCCCCTTTGCTTGTGGTCTTGCGTTTCTTCTTGGCTTCTGCCCTTCATAATCAGTGAGGCCTAAAATGCTGATTGGGAAAATGCCAGAAGTAAACACTTTATAAATTTTAAATTGCACACCATTCTGAATGATGCGCTGAAATCCCACACTGTCCAGTTCTGTCCCTTTGTCTTCTGTATCCTTGTTGTCTATGCTGCCTTCCTATTAATATGCAGAAGAATAAGATATTTTGAGAAGGAAAAAGAAAACAGGTCCTGTTTACCTAATTTTAAAAATCTGGGTTTTTGTTATTGGCATTTTACCTGTCCTAGTTTATGAATTAAACTTTATCATAAGAATATGTGAGCTGGGGATGAAACACAGTGTAGGTAAGGTTCATTGTTCCCTGCGGTTGTTGGCATTCTTGTGTGGGGATCTTGACACATCTCTCTCTCAAGTGATAATGGGGTGGGTCCTACTGGACCTTTGACAATCTTATTTCATCTATATTGATTTCTGACCTTTTTTGTTATAGGTTAAGAAATATTCTCTCAGTGGTTGGAACTGATGCCTTAAAAAAGACAAAAAAAGATGATGAGAAATCTAAGAAGTCAAAAGAAGAGGTAAAATGTGAAGAAATTGGAGACTAGGTCTTTCCAGTGCCGCTTTGCTAGGATGAGGAGAGCTGTCTACAGGTTCTGCCATTTGGGAATGGTTGATGGCAGGAATCAGTAATTCTTATACGATTGTGAATGGTGCTGTACATTCTCCATTCTGGAAGGTACTCGATGTGACTCAGTAAGAAACCAGAATCTAGTAAGACATCAAAGAAAAAAGTAGAGACTGGAGAGATTCTCTGCCCTTAAGAGTGTGCACTGCCCCTCAGGAGTCCAGCAGCCCACAACTGCTATGCAGTCTGATGCCATCTTCTGGCCTCCATGGTGTCTGCATGCACAAGCACCCCACACACACAGACACATAACACATAGTTAAGTAAATGTTTTTAAGGAAAATGAAAGGTAATTATTAGTAAGGACATGTGCCAGCTTCATTCTGTTACTGAGCCAATTCACTTTGTGAGCAGTTACAATTAAGAACAGCTGTGGGGAGAGCCAGTGTGCTTCAGACCTAACATTTCTGCTGTTATTTCCTTTTCAGTATCAGCAAACCTGGTACCATGAAGGGCCAAATAGCCTAAAGGTGGCCAGACTATGGATTGCTAATTATTCACTTCCCAGGTAAGCGGAGGTCCAGAAGAAGTGTCATTTCAGAGACTGGGTTGTCTATGATGGTGGCATTATTGTATGTGATTTAGAAGAAATGTACAGATCTTGTTTGTAGCTTCTTTAGTGATGATGTTTATGTGTCACAGGGCAATGAAACGCTTGGAGGAGGCCCGTTTGCATAAGGAGATTCCCGAGACAACCAGAACATCCCAGATGCAAGAGCTGCACAAATCTCTGCGGGTAAGATGCTCTTCACTGTTGTCCAGTCTCTTACATTATTAGAGATTCTGTTTTGGCCCCACCCACAGGAAGGTAAAGGCAGTTACCTACGTGCCACCCAGTGTGTCGGTGATGCGGGAAGCACTGTCAGCTGTGGTGACAGGAACATTCTGTGCTTTGTGCTCACAGAGACCAGTGTTTCTGCTCTTGACTGCTCCCTTCTAGAAGGTCAAGCTGTGCTTTGCTTTTCTCTGGTTTTTGTTTGTGTTTAGCTGACATAAAAGCTAATGAGGTACACTGGCAATGATGGTGCACACCTTTAATCCCAACATTTGGGAGGCAGAGGTAGGTTGATCTCTGTGAGATTGAGTCCAGTGTGGTTTACAAAGTGAGTTCCCCGACAACCAGGGCTACACAGAAACTCTGGACATGGAGGGAAAGGGGAGTAATGAGACTATGATAAACAAGTAGCTTTCCAGATAAGCCTTGATTCCATTCTTCAATAACATTAATGTTGACTAACAACAGCAAAGCATAAAGAAGTCTTGAGATGAATTAAACTGACAGGTGTAACTGCTGCCCCCTCCTCCTCCCATCCCCCCCCCAGCCCCCATTTTTTCCCAAAAGTGGAAAAGCCAAAGAACTCTTAGATTTAGCCTTTTAAATGATCACCTTTTCTGGTGTTTTTGTTTTTTAGTCTTTGAATAATTTCTGCAGTCAAATTGGAGATGATCGGCCAATCTCCTACTGTCACTTTAGTCCCAATTCTAAAATGCTAGCAACAGCATGTTGGTAAGTTTCATTTTATAGTAACATTTTCATAAATTGTGCATGGGTTCAGGAAGAAAAGTTGCCTTTGTCTCAGAGATCTTTTCCTCTGTCCTCTGCCTCTGCTCATGAGGCAGGTGTCATGGCTCTACCTGCTTGTACACTTCGACAAAGCTGTTTGGCAGTTCTTACTACTCACAGAGATCCCCAGAGATCCATGATATGTAATGTCTATCATGTTCTTCCACTGGAGTTTTGGGGTAGTTCGTATGGGAATTTTATAAACCAAGTATATATTTTCATTTCTTAATCCAGCTTTGCTTTCTTACTTCTGTGGTCTCACTGAGGTAGGCAACCCTTAGAAGCCTTGGTGCCTTTATCTGTACCGTTGGAACCGTAGCTAACATTTGCCACGCATTTGGTGAGATCTTGGTAAATGTTAATTATTAATCTCATCTGTTTTGTACGCATCCCACATATGGGAAACTCAGGATGTACTGGGGTTATGGATTATATGTACTGAACTTTTACATGAGTGCTGGGAACCTGGACTCAATCCGCATGTTTACATAGCAAGCACTTTATTGAGTATGTGAGCCAATTCCTGAACCCTGTTTCATTTTATTTTTACTTTTTTCTGAATTGTGCCTATCTAAGAAAGATGAAACTTAATATTGACTACAGGGGAATTGCTTTAGTAGGCAGAAAGTGAAGCTGTGGTTCAAGAGAAAGCTGAAGGCTAAAGTGTTGGTAGGTGGCAAAATACTGCTTGTATTTCAGGTCCTGCCATTATTGACCCAGTTTAATTTTTTTCCCTTCCCTTGCAAGTTGACCTGTACTTTAAGAATAGCAGCTTGTATTCCATGATAGTCTAGAGGAGGCAACTGGTGGCCTAAGAGCTGCTGTAGCTCTTTTCAACGAGCCTTTGCTTTTTCTGTTGGCCACTGTCAAGTGTATAGGAGCAAGACAAAATTGTCCTTCAGTAATGTTATGAAGGTGCCTTTTCCTCCCCAGACCAACCCTGGCTGAGATGCTTTCCTTTGTGTTTGATAGGAGTGGGCTTTGCAAGCTCTGGTCTGTCCCTGACTGCAGCCTCCTTCACACTCTTCGAGGTGAGTTACAGGTGTCATCTCATTCTTTTCTCAGCAAACTGTTAAAGAGTACCACTCCAGCTGATGCTCAGATACAACACAGCTTTGTTTCTGTGTATGTGCACATGTGTGTACTCTTGAGTACATACATAAGTACCAGCAAAGACCAGGTGAAGGTGTCTGGTCCCTGGACCTGGAGTTACAATGCGTTAACTGGTGAGCTGTCTTTCCAGCCCACGGGTTGCACTTTTATTTGAGTGAATGTGGTTTTCTCTCCCCCAATACCAGAATATTATGACTATACTTGCATGCAGTCTGTCCTCCTTTCCAGCCACACTGGCCATTCTAAGATTTTGTGTTTTACTTTTTGATTTGGTTTAGTCTTTTGAGAATGGAGTCTTACTCTGTTTCCCAAGCTGGCTTCAATTCCGTATCTTTTTGCCTCGGCCTTCGAAGTGCTGGGTTACAGAGTCACTTAGTTACTATGCCTTTTTTTTTTTTTTTTTTTTTTTTTAAATATAAATTGAAGGAAAAAATGCAATTTGGGTGTTTGTTAAAACAGTTCTTTTGGGAGCTGGAACAGCTAAAAACATAAATTGCCTTTACAGAGAACCTGAGTTAGGTTCTCAGAACCCATAACAGGTGGCTTGCAGTGGCTTGTAATTCTGGCTCCAGTGACCTCCATAGCACCTGTGCTCGTGTGCACATTCTCACACACATATACATAATTTTAAAAATAAATCTTTAAAATAAATAAATAACTGAACATGGTGGCATTCAGGAGGCAGAAGTAAGTGGATCTGTAAGTTCAAGGTCAGCCTGGTCTTCGTAGCAAGTTTCAGGCCAGCCAGAACTTCACAGACACCCTGTCTCAAAAATAAATAAATGTTCTGTCTGTTCACATTCCCTTGTGTGTACTTTACCATGTTCTTCGTATAGTCTCTGTTTGCTCATAGAGTATGAAGAGGTAAGAGCCCTCTAACTTTGCTCTCCCTTAACTCTTTAGGCCATAACACAAATGTAGGAGCAATTGTGTTCCATCCTAAATCCACTGTCTCACTGGACCAAAAGGATGTCAACTTGGCCTCTTGTGCTGCTGATGGCTCTGTGAAGCTTTGGAGTCTGGACAGGTGATTATTACCCTCCTACAGTTCACATTGCCATCCCTAAAGAGAGTGGTTGGCTAGCCCTTTAGGTTTAAAAATGGAACATTTAACCCCAGGCATGCTTCAAGAGTCCAGGGAACTCACTGAAAATAGAAGATGTCTTTCTTAGACCTTTTTTTGTTCACAGAAGGTATGCTGGAATTTACTGTCTTTAATGACTTTAGGCCTCAGTTTTTGCCTTTAGCACAGTAGTCACTGACTCCCAGCTCCCATTCTAGAACAAACCAGTTTAACCTACATAGTAGGTTAGCATTGGCAAATGCAGTTTTGTAGGTAGGCTAAACATAATCATCTTGGCAGCCTCTTGGATCTATGCGCACAGCCATAGAGGAGAAGGGAAGTGAGGTTTGATCTGGCAGTACATGCCACTGGTGTCATCCTCTACCCTAGGATGTATTTTCCAACCACAGCACATATTCTTTCTTCATGTGGATGTTTTTACTAGTCCACTCAATTTTAAAAACATACTGTGATCTGAAAGACATTTGAATGTTCATTTTTCTTTCCTAGAGAAAGCATAGCAAGGTTTATTACAAAATTCTCCAAAGCACTAATTAGCATCTGCAGTCTTTGCCAGATAGAGTCTCAGCAACTATCGTGGCAAGTTTTAATTGGCTTCCATAATATTTAGCAGTACTTATCCCCATAGGGCCCTGGTTCAGTCTGTGAGTACTCATTGACAGCACTCCCTTCTAATTGCCCTCTTTAGGCTCATGTTTATTTCCTCTCTCTTGTGTTTGAGCCTTTCTGTTGTTGCTAGGTAGCAGAAATTTGTGGCCATCCAGAGGACACTGAGTCACTCTAGCTTAGGAGTTCTTTTTTTATTTGGATCTTTGAACAGGATAAGGGTTAAGTAAAATTATCTGGAACCCATTGGACCATAACTGATTTCAGTATCTACACCTCTACCACCATACACTACATGCAGTGGGACTATTTGCTTATCATGAAGAATTTATTGACACATTGAATTGAACTGAGATAGTGATCACTTTGCACTGTGGTCAAAGAAATAATCCTCCTTAGAATGTAGCTTAAATGATTGTTATCAATCAAATGATTGTTATCCCTAAGATTGTAACACATTGCAGGTACAGTAACAGTTAGCACAGAGCCTTGTACAGGGTGCAGTCAGCCCCTTGTGCTGCTCAGTGTAGAAAGTACACGGTGATACCTGTGTACAAACGACAGAGTGGGCATATCTGCACAGCAGCAAATAAACTGAGTGGGTTGTTATTCATGGCTGTCAAGGTGTTTAACCCCTGAATGTATTTGGTTCCTTTCAGCGATGAACCAGTGGCAGATATTGAAGGTCATACAGTACGTGTGGCTCGGGTAATGTGGCATCCATCAGGGCGTTTCCTGGGCACGACCTGGTAAGCCATCTGTTAGTGTCTAGTTTGTACAAGCCTGCTGGTTTTGATAATCCTTTTCAGTTATCTGCAAGGTAAATATTTAGAGCAAGGATCTTCAATTAGAACTTTCTCAAACTTAAGTAATAGAATCAGAATAAAAGTTAAAAAAAAAAAATAGTCAGGGCAGAATATATATTTTCTTTTAATTCTTACTGAGTGTGCTACACATCTTACCACTCAGCAGGCTAAAGCAAGAGGATCATAAGCTTAGGGCCAGCCTAGGCTACATAGCAAGACTTTAAAAAAAATAAAATGGAGCTGGGCAGTGGTGGCAGATGCTTTTTATCCCAGCACTCAGGGCAGAGACAGGTGGATCTCTTTAAGTTCAAGGCCAGCCTGATTAACTGGCAGGTTCAGGACAGCCAGGGCTACATAGAGACCATGTCTTGAAAAATAAATAAAATAGAAACACTAATAAATAAAAATCCTCTGTACCAACATATTACTTCCTTTTCTGGTTCTGTAAGTTTAGTGAGGCTTAGTTCTACTAAAAATCTTTTTCTGTGAGGTTTCAGTAACATTCAGTAGAATGGGATTGTTTTATTGTACAAGTCAGCCTTGACAAGTGCATACTGCTTATAACCCACACCCTTACCAATCGTTTCTATCACCCCACAGAGTTGTCTTAGGCCCTCTCTCTCTCCCCTTCCAAAGCAGCCTCTGACTTGATTTGTTTGTTCTACCTGTTTATACCCATTTGTGGTACTAAGCTGAGGGGCAGTCTATTGTATCTGTTCCCGTCCATGTGTTCTCCTGTTGATAGACATCTGAACATGTTTCTAGGTTGTGGCTAGTCTGTGGCTGGTCAAGATATAGCCACTATAAATTTTTTTTTTCTTTTAATGTATGCCTGTGTGCTTCATGCCCAGAAGCCAGAAAGGGGCATTGGATCCCCTAGAATTGTAGTTACACAGGTTGTGAGCTGTCATGTCAGTACTGGGACCCAGACGTGGGTCCTTTGGAAGAGCAGCCCATGCTCTTAACCACTAAGCCATCTCTTTATCCCTGGCTATAAATATTCTTATTGGAGCTTTTTATATTGTTTAGGGGTTTTGGTTTTATTTTGTTTTTCCCTTTCTCTTGGGTAAATACAGAGGAGTAAAAATGCTAGTTTATAGAGTAGATGTATATTTAGCTTTTTAAAAACATTCAGGCAGCCAGGTGTTGGTGGCACACACCTTTAATCCCAGCACGCAAGAGGCAGAGGCAGGTGGATCTCTGAGTTCGAGGCTGTTCTTTTTCATACCTCTGTCATGTTTGCTGTTGTGCTCTTTTCATCTCACCCATTGTAGTTAGTGTTACTGCCCTGACAGCTATTGCTGTTGAGTATTTTGCCATGTGCTTATTCATTATCTGCATATCTTCTTTGGTACAGGGTCCAGTTGCTTTGCCCTTCTTGAGTTTAATCTTTTCTATATTTGTACCACTATAGCCTGTTTGTTGCCATCATTGAAGATTTCTATTAAAATTGTTTTAGCACCCTAGTGAAAGTTGATCATTTGTATTTGGGTCTATTTCTGTATCTGCTCTATTTGTCCATCTGAGTTTTTTGTTTTGTTTTGTTTTTGTCTTTTTCTATGCTAACATCCAGTTGAGACTCTAGTAAATTAAAAAATGCTTGCTTGATGATTGAAGGGATATAGCAGTGGAATGAGGAGAGAAAGGGGGAAAAAATGCAGTCTTTGCTGGACTGTTCAAGAATTTTGTTTTTGTTTGTGCTGGTGGCTGAACCCAGGGCCCTGCACATACGAGGCAAGCCCTGCCCCCAAAGTATTGAGCCCCAACCACAAACCAGGGAAATCTTTTTAAAAATATAGCTGCTAAAGCAAATTACAGAACGTTCTTGGTCTCCCAGTTGTCACTAAGACAAGCAAGCTTGAATGGTGAGGCATTGTTTATGCCAGAAAGGAATTTCTTGTTAGTACGATTAAATGATATTTATAGTACCTTGTATATAGTAGACGCTGACTCGGTCTTCTGGTTGATTGTTGGTATAGTTTATTTTATTTGTTTTTAAGTTATGACCGTTCATGGCGCTTATGGGATTTAGAGGCTCAAGAGGAGATCCTGCATCAGGAAGGCCACAGCATGGGTGTGTATGACATTGCCTTCCATCAAGATGGCTCTTTGGCTGGCACTGGGTAAGCTTCCTCCACAAAGCAAGGGGTGGGCAGGTCAGTAGTCTCACCTTAGGACTCCCTGCTTTCCTGTGGAACTGGGTCTGGAGTACTCATATACATGTTGTTTCTCCAGGGGACTGGATGCATTTGGTCGAGTCTGGGACCTACGCACAGGACGTTGCATTATGTTCCTAGAAGGCCACCTGAAGGAAATCTATGGGATAAATTTCTCCCCAAATGGGTAAAGCACATTCAGTGAATGGGAAGGGTTCTGGTCAGATAGTTCTTTGTTTCTAATTATGATACTTCTGATCCACAGCTACCACATTGCAACAGGCAGTGGTGACAACACCTGCAAAGTGTGGGACCTTCGACAACGACGCTGTGTCTACACCATTCCTGCCCATCAGAACTTAGTGACCGGGGTCAAGTTTGAGCGTAAGCTTTGCTCTTGTTCTCAGCATTAACATCAGACCCCTTTGCTTCATGGACTACATGTCAGGCATTAGACTTAGACATGGAACCCTGTTAAAGAAGCACACTTTTATGTCCTTCCCTCTACCATACTTATAGACAAAGCTATGGCAAAGCATGCTTCTTGGAGCTAAGACTTCTGTGAAGACTGTTCCATTTTGTTCTCCATGGAAGGTCAGGCACTAGATGCTTGATGGTACTGTCCACCAGGGAAAGAGCACATAGACTTCATACCGTTACTTAGGTGTCCTCAATCTGCTCATGACTGTCTCTTCTCTTGTAGGCCTCCTAGAAATGTAGACTCTGTGTTACATTTGTCTGAGTGCAAAAGTAACCTTTCCTTGAGAATAATATGTTTTAGCAGATCTTTGTGCTTATTTTTTTCAGCTTGCTTTAAATTCTTCATGCTTTATTTTTCCTGCAGCTATCCATGGAGACTTCTTGCTCACAGGTGCCTACGATAACACAGCCAAGATATGGACCCACCCAGGCTGGTCCCCATTGAAGACTTTGGCTGGCCATGAGGGCAAAGTAATGGGCCTAGACATTTCTTCAGATGGGCAGCTCATAGCTACTTGCTCATATGACAGGACCTTCAAGCTCTGGATGGCAGAGTAGGCAAGACCATGGAAGGACTTGGACCTTGTGCTCTCACCGAGGAGCCATTTTCCTCAGAGGAAAAGAATTGTATTGTGTTCTATCATGTTTTCTGCCAAATACCATGTGTAGGATTGGATTTTCACATCGACCCCTTCTGAGTAATCCAGTCTCTAGGTGATGGCAAACCCTTCATGGTTAGAATGCAATTCTCATCTCAGGTTCTGCCATAAACTATGTAGACACTGTTTAGACTCATCACTTTTGAATGCCCTCCCATCTCTGTCAGTACTCGGGATTGTGACTATTCTTTCATTTTTAAACTTTTATTTGGCATTTTGAGATAGGGTATGTCTATTTAGCCCTGACTGCCTGGAACTGCCCTGTCTGTGTCAGGAGGCCTCACATCTTAAGAGACCCTCCAGCTTCTGCCTTCCAAGTGATAGCATTACAGAAGTGTGCTGCTGGGCCTTACAGTTGCATTTGTAATGCTTGAAATGTGGCTGTCTATGACATGGTATGTGCTCCATACTACATGTGATCCAGCAGGCAGATAGCAGACTGCATTTGAAACTCCCCAAGTTAAGAGGGCATGTGGGAAGGCAGAAACAGGTGGTCCGGGTGGTCTCTGAGTTTGAGGCCAGCCAGGTCTACAGAGCGAGTTCCAGGACAGGCTCCAAAGCTACAGAGAAACCCTGTCTCAAAAAAAAAAAAAAAAAAACAAAAACAAAACAAAAAAGGGGGTGGGGTGGCATTCCATTCTGTGTATTAGTTCAGTGAGTGGGGCCTGAGGGCAAGCTCCTCTCCTGCCCCTGAGAATGTGATGCCAAGCAGTAGGCTGCAGCTGCATGATGATTCAGAAGCGAAGATTTGGCCTCTTCCTATGGAGTCTACAGATATGTTAACTGCATCAGGGAACTCAGAACCGAACATGTCTGCCTTGTTGGGAAAAACCTTCCATTTTGCTTTGAAGTTTGGCATCTTTTGAGATAAAACAAGGCCATTGTATCCAGATTCAAAGGAGTTTTTAGAAAACAAACATGATGTCTGGTACAACCTCCTTCCTGTTGATATTTAAAGGATGTACTTTATGTATTAAAGGATACTTCGTATCAAAGTAAATGGGGAAAATCCCTAATTTATATTTGGGTGTTCCCAAACATAAGCATTTTTTTTCTTTATTATATACTTGCTGAGAGTAAAATTCTACCATAAAACTGTCTTTCAAAGAGTTCCTCTTTTAGTTTTGAGATCAATGTACTTCCAGATGTGAATTGTCCAATTTCTATCACTGTTTACAGATGTTTATAGTGGGATTTTTCCGGGGGGGGGGGGGGTAGGTTTGAGACAGGGTCTTGCTGTATAGCTCAGATTGGCGTCAGACTCTCAATGTTCCTGCCTCTGCATCTCAAGGTGTTAGTAGGAAGTGGTATTAACAGCTTTTTTAATACAGTTGTTGGCCTAGGGGATTACAGTGAGCTGTGTCTGGGCTCCCTAATTCATCAGTCTTAATTCTCTTTACCTTCCCACTGTGGGTATATATCCTCAAGAATTGCACAGTAAATCCACACAAGACAGTAATGCAAGAAGATTGTGTATAAAGTAAAATTAGCATGGACTTATGGTGGCATCCTCTCCTGGATTCAAAACTACACTCCACCAGCTTCCTGTTCTGTCCTGCTCTTCTGTAGGTTATAGATATGTGGTATAGGGCAAAACATGGTTTGGGGGTTTTGTTTTGTTTTTTAAGATAGGGTCTTAATATGTAGCTCTGGCTGGCCTAGAACTTGATGTATTAGACCAGGTTAGTCTCAAATTAAGTGATCCACCTGCATCTGACTCCCAAGCACTAGGACTAAAGAGGCGTGCCCACCACACCCAGCTAAACATATTTTAATCTGATTCCAGTTATAGCTAAACATATTTCCTCTGTAGTTGTAAGCTTCTCAGGTCTATCCTTCATTTGGAACTTACTACCCTTAACCTATTCTATTCCCATAATAATGTGCCATGAAAAGTACCGTTTTCTTGGTTTTCTTGGTCATATTTGTATAGTGATGAGACTGCTGTGCTACCCTGCAATCAGAATCTAGCACTTTCAAGTTTTGGTTACTCTGGTTTTAACTTTACTAGGATTTAACAATTTTTGTTGTTCCAAGAGAGTATTTAAGTTGGAGATGTGTAAGCCTTAGGCACAGCGAGTGTCTGGAAGAATATCCATTTCTTCATTGTAAGAGCGAAGCCTGAGCCAGTCAGTAGTGGTGGCACATGCCTTTGATCCCAGCCTTTGAAAGGCAAAGACAGACGAGCCTGATTTACAACAGTTCCATGACAGCCAGAGCTGTAACACAGAAACACTGTAACACAGAAACCACCCCCCCCCCAAAAAAAAAAAAAAAGTGAATCCTGAATGGCAAAGCTACTGTGTATCACTTAACCATGTCTAGGTGGTCTATCAGGCACACTAAGCTCATTCTCTTAAAATCGTTAAGGTGGAGCAGGTTAGAGGTGATGTACACATTTAATGCCAGCATTCAAGAGGCAGGTGGATCTCTTAAGTTCAAGGCCAGTCTGCTCTACAGAGTGAGTTCCAGGACAGCCAGTGCTACACAGAGAAATCCTGTCTCAAAAAAAGTTAAATAAAAGATTGCTGAGATGTACTCCCTTTTTATGGGCAAACCAGACTCAAGTGACCTGCTAAATTACCAACTAGTGAGTGGTAGAACCATTTGAGACTGTGAAGTGTTTTCACGGAGCTTTGTGGAGAATGTTGGCCGTGTGACGGCCAGGACAGCACATGTGGCCTGGCTGCTGAATTGTCAGTCTTCATCTTTCTGCCTTATAGATGCCATTGACAAATCACTCTGACTTTGTGAAAAATGGAGTTTGTTTTCCCACTCCTGTGTGGACTTGGAGCTTGTTGCTGCTGCTTAGCAGATTTCTATCTGGATAGGCAATGCTATCATGTAGGACAAGCAGCTGCAGGACTATGTCCCTAACCTGGACACACCTGAACATGTCTCATGTATTTGTAGATGTAAGTGGGTGAGACTGCTTCTTAGGATTTGATTCATAAATGTCCCCAGCACCTTCAGGACATAGGACCTGGCTGGTGCAAAAATGTCACTAGTGAGGGGTCATTGTAAATTATTAGCCCAGCTTCTGTTTCCACTTTCTCTGCCTCCTGGTATACTGTGATGTAGCAAGCTATGTCCAAATCGACCTCCCCTCAAGTTGTTTCTATCACAGTGACATAGAAGTGACTTAACACTGCCTCAAGGTTAAAACTAACAAAAGCAAAATAGAAGCTAACATCCTAAAAATACTTCTATCAGATGTAACAAACTGTCCAGTGTAACAAATTACTAGTTTTGGTATATCCACCATCCTAAGTTGTATTCTTACAGAAGACTCTAACACTTAGTGGCTGGGTAACCCTGGCCTGGGCCTGACTTCCAATACAATGAAGCTTCCTTGGACCAGGGGCTCTGGAGGAGGGAAATGCTCCTTCTTGGGCTTGTGCCAGCTCCTCTCTGTCTGCACCTGTCCCAATTAGCTCAGAGAATATGGTGAGATAGTTGCCTAACTTACTTGACACAGAGTTACGAAGTGAAAGTACATAGAGAAATTAAGTCAGTGGGGAATGTGTCTCAGCATCAGTAGTTACCTGATGGGGTCAATGGAGACGTAGGCACTAGTCTCAGGAGGAGCACAGAGGAACCTTTCCAGTTTCATAATGGAGAATTTTCCTCCACACTGGAGCTTAAAACTATCTTGACCATTTCATAATATCTTGTACCTTTGAATTTATAAATAGATGATACTTATGAGAAAATACTGTTTAGAGCAAATAAAACTGACTGGAGTTCTGACCTCTAACAGAATATAAATCAAAAAGAAAAAAAATTAAAATCTTTTTCTGATTGTGTGTTAAGACACTGGGATTGCTTCAAAGTCTGGAACCCAAACATGTTCAAACCAGAGGAGTGCTTATATGGCATGGTGGCAGTTTGTACAGCTGAAGCTGGCATGGCTAAATTCTAGAATCTTGGTTCCTGGGTTCTGTCATATGAAGAGGAAATCAGGGTCACCCCTGTGCCCCAGGCTACTCAAGCCTGAGATGCAGCTGAAGCATTTCCTCTGCCCAGAGATCTGCCTTACCTCGGAGGCCAGAGTTAGGGTGCTGACCTCAGCTCCATCTGCCCTGTGGGCACTGACCAGGAGAACAGAGAGGGTTTGTCTCAAACCCCCAGCTCTCTCCAGTCATCCTGGTTTCCTTCGCCTTTGGATCCATTTCTTCATGCTGCATGCTAAACAATTCATTCTGCATGTCCTCCCTTCCACTGAGGGCTACCTGCCACCCCAGGGCCTGTTATCTTCCCTTTCAGTCTCTGCCCAATAAATGGTTGTGGAAGAAAGAAACTAATGAATTAAAGAATGCATGCTAGTTTTACTGGGAATGGTGATAAGAATCAGAGAAAATGCTGAAAAGGGAGACAAATACATTAGCCCACAAATTGAAACACTCCAGAATTCAGTAATACATGAACAGCTCAACACAGCTCCAGTGAAAGATGCCACAAGCTATCTCAACTAGTCAGATATCTGGACAGTGCTGTCCAGCCCTTTGGCACAACTTGCTGTGTAGCCATAGAACCACAGAACTGCTTCTCTAGACACTGTGACCCCACAGTTCACTTTCAGGTCTCAGCTCTTCGTGTTGAGCCATCTGTTCTCCAAAGCTGACACATGATCTAACCTGTCTCTGGACTGTCAAATGAGCAATACTACAAGGAAGACATCAAAGGAGACTCGGTCCCCATTCCAGCAACCACAGAGAAAGGCTCAGTTCCTTGTGCTGGAACAAAGAGAGTACTCACCCCGCTCCCCAAAAGAACTGCTTAGTCCAAAAGATGGAGAAGATGAGCAGTAGGGTAACACTGAGGATAACAGCCATCAGGTAGGCAAAGATCCGGAAGTGAGGGTTGCGGATAAACTCTCTGAGAGAGTAGTGGCTGGGGATGGGCATGGGCCTGCTGTCAGGGACTGTGTCCTGAGAGGGTCCAGTCTGGCTCCCAGGCTCTGTGCCAAGGTCTAGGGTATAGACCCGAGGCTGACGCAGTAAGTAACGGCTCTTGGGTTGGTCCTTGAGACAGAGCTGGTGGCCCTCAAGGATGACATGGTGGGGTTCTAGGCGGAGCAGGGTCAATACTTCAGTGTTTGTAGGCAAGTCAGTAACTGGTTGTCCTGAAGCCAGCACGGTGGGCTGACGACAGAGCGGGCAGAGCAAACGGCGCCTGGCTGGGGTTACCAGGCTGAGGTGAGCCAGGCATTCCACACAGAAGGAGTGACAGCAGTCTAGTACTTTGGGGGTGTGAAATGTATTGTTGAAGGGGTTCCAGCAGACGGGGCACTCAGCTGTGAGCTCCTGGCCCTGTGGCTCCGCCATCCTCGGGTCACATACAGGAAGCTTCACAGGAGATGTCCTGGTAGAGGGAAGAAAGAGTAAAGCACACCCATGGGGCTCTGTCCCTGGGCTTGGTCTGCAGCCCTCAGCTCCGAGAGATTAAACGCTGTCCATCCACATTTTACAGGTGGTAGAATGCATGTCTAAAAGCGTTTTTCCCAAGAACACCCAGTCCTAGTCACAGACTTAAGTCTGAAGCTACACAGTTGCCTGTCACCCAGGATGAACCACCTATATGAGTCACTCACCTACCGGCAGCACCAGAATGAGCTGGCAGTGGAGGGGACAGCACTGGGGCTTTGGAGATGGCTAAAAAATTCAGTCTTTGCTCCCTGCATGTGCTCTAGGCTGCCTTGGCTCTATGGAGCAAGAGAGCACCACACATTCGGTGAGTTTCCTTCCCTGCAAACTCATATCCCTGCCTAGGGCAGAGATGGGCTGTGTGAATTCCCTAGTCTGGTCTTCCACTAGGGACAAATGCCAGCCCCCTTTCTGCTCCTTCCTTTGGGCCAAAGGCCAACTCATCAAAGTAGACTGACCCGTCCTGGTCCTGGTGAACAACTCTTAAGTAGACTCCCTTACTAGGGCCCCCAGGTCAGCTCTGTATGTTTCTTCCCAGTTCTCACCTTCCCTGGTTCCTCCTCCCTCTTTTTCCCAGCACCCACCTGGGCTTCCTTAGACTGTAGAGGGTGGATTACAGAGACCACTCTGAAGAGTAGAGTTTCCGGTCTTTCCCTCTCCTGAATCCGCCTAGCTTTGGTAAACTGCTGCCTCACCACCAACCCCAGGGCCGTTTCCATGACAGCATGCTCACAGCACCTGGAGCTGCCAGGTGGCCCTGGCTGCAACCTCAGCACGCACACACCTGCCTGGAGTCAAGGCCAGAGACCTGGCAGAGTGGTGCCTGGGAGATCCAACACACACACACACACACACACACACACACACACACACTGGGTGTGGCAACCAATTGAATGATGAGCAGATACAGGTCAGAGGGTGGTTCTTTTCATACCTGAAATCCCTAGACTGGAAAGGAAAGGGTGGTGACAGTTTCCTCTTTCTAGATCACCATGAGGGCAAGTCTTCCGGTTTCCTCTCTCTTAGGCTCTCATTTCTTTTCTAAAACGCTGGGGCCTCCTCCTAGCACAAAGGAGTTGCCTGCCATGTGTTTGCTGCACAAACCTATACAATCTATCAAATTCCCCAAAGCCTGGTCCTCTCATCTCTTAACTACTCATCTAGATAGCTACAATCAAAGCAGGCAAACCCTCAGGACAGGATCAGCCTCAGGCCCAGAGCCAGCCTTGGAGAGGAGCATTCTAGCCCTGCTTCCCCATTTCAAGTGGAAACATTTGACTTTTATCTCTTGCTTATGTTGGCCATTTAAATGATTTGAAGAGTTGAATTGCTGCAGGGGAGGTGTTTAAAGAAAACTACTTGGTTGAAACCACTCACTTTACACATGGAAACGAGTAGTGATTCTGGCTAGTTACAATGACACTGGGACACGTGTGTTTGGATTTCCAGTCCACCATATGCTGCAGACACAAAGGCAGATGCTGCATCCATTCAGTCTATCTGTGGGATATGTGGTAAAGAGCTAAATAGGAAGCACTCCTGTTTCCTCTAAGAGTCCTGTGTCAGTTAGGATTCTCTGGGTAGGAGCCCAGGAGCTGTGCAAAGGGAGATTTCCTTGGAGAGTTGATATGATGTTCTATATCCTGAGTAACTGGACACCTGAAGCAAAACCTGTGTCCACCTTTACCCTGGGCTTCCTAGTTTTGTCTAGACCTCAGTTGTTGCTCAAACGTGGAGTAAACAGATGAAGGCATTGAGGGGGAGATGCCATAGCCATAACCAAAGCTGGGAGAGCTGCTAGTATGTGTACCAATGCCTCATGCAGAGAGCCAGTCATTCCTGCCCAATCACTGAGTGCTTACCACATGCCAGGTGCTATGCGACGTACTCAGATCAGCCTTGTCTTTGATTTCATGACATTCATAGGCTGCAAAGAAAGAAGAAGAAGAAAATATATATATATAATCACTATGTAGCCCTGGATGTCCTAGAACTCACTATATAGACCAGGTTGACCTCAAACCCACAAGAGATCCACATGCCTCCACTTCCCGAATGCTTCGAATAAAGGCATGTGCCACCACATGTACTGAAACTCATGATTTTAAGGAATGCTACGAAGAACAAAAAAATGGAATGAAAGGTTTCTCCAAAGAGGTGATGTGAGTGCTAACTCAAGGTTGAAAAGAATCCAGCCAGGCAGAGCGGAGGGAGAGCATGCCGAGCCGCCCAAGGGACAGCACATCTGGAAGCCCAGAAGTGAACTCTGCCAGGACGGCTGAGAGGCTGGGGTAATCAAGAGTTCAAAGAGCTCAGTGTGAAGGCAGGAAGTAGGATCTGTAAGTTCCAAAACTCATTCAAGTTTTATTGATGGGGTATGCCCAGTCCTTGACTTACTTTTCATTTTCATTAGTTTGGAGGTTTTTGTTTGAGATAGAATCTTATGCTACAGCTCAGGCTGCCTTGACCTTGCTATTTGTCCAGACTGGCCTTGAACCCATGGTCCTCTTGCCCTCTGAATCCCAAGTGCTGAGATTTCAGGTGTGAGCCACCATGGGGTTCCTAAATCCATTTTGTTTTCATTTTAAAATCTTTGATATTGAATGTATGTCTGCATACCAAGCAAATGCCTGGTGCTCATGGAGGCCAGCAGAGGGTGTTGGAGTCCCCAGGTATTGGAGTAACAAATAGTTATGAGCTGGCATGCAGGTGCTAGGAATTGCATCTGGCTGCTCTTCAGAGCAGCCAGTGCTCCCAACTGCTGAGCCATCTCTCCAGTCTCCCATTTCCAGTTATCACACAGAGGATAGACTGGAAAGGCCAAGAGTGGAAACAAAAGGTCAGCTATCAAAGTCTCACTTATAGCTACAGCAGTTAGTTCAAGTGTGTGACAATGATGTCTGATGTAGGTCAGGTTGAGGGTGTAGCTGAAAGAATATAGCACATAAATGTTTGGAAAATGTTGAGCACCTTTAACCACCAGGAAAATGTAAATTAATTCTGTTTTGAGATTGCACCTCACCTAGTCTGATTGGCAGTCAAGAACAAAGACCAAGTGGTGGCGAATCTTGGGGGTCAGTGAGGAAACTTGCCATCAAGCCCGATGACCTGGGTTCCAGCCCCTGGGCCCACACACTAGAAGGAATGGACCAACTTCCACTAGTTGTCCTCTGACTTCCATGTGTGCACCGTGGTGCATGCTCCTCCAAAGCAAATGAAGTTTAAAAAGTAAATAAAAGTGAAAATAAGTGTCGGTGAGGACTTGGAGAAGGAGGGATCTTTGTACACTGCTGGTGGGAGTGCAAACTGGGGAAGCCACTAAGAAAACTGGTATGGGGCTCCTCGAACAACTGGGACTACCCTGTGACCCTGACATATCCCTCCTGTGTGTGAACCTGAGGGAGTCTAAATCAGCAGCATGGGTATATATGCCACAGAGACATCTGTTCATTACTGCACTGTGAATGACAACCAAGACGTGGAACCAGCCATCAACCCATCAACAGATTAGTGGGTTTTTAGAATAACTTATATAACCACAATGGCGTTTTATTCCATCATAAAGGGTGAAATTACATCATATGCAGGAAAGTAGAGAGAACTGAAGTTACTTTGAAAGATATGTGCACCATAGAAAAATATCTCCCAAAAAATAACCTACCAAGTGTTTGTTGTTGTTGTTGTTTGATTGTTTGATGCAGGATTTCATTTTGTACCCCTGGCTAGCCTGGAACTCTCTACATAGACCAGGCTGGCCTCAAACTCACGTTGATCTGCTGTCCTCTGCTTCCCAAAATCTAGGCTTAATAGTGTGTACCACCACTCCCAGAAACAACTAAATGTCAATAGTGGTCTTCAGTGTGGACAAAACCATCAATCTGGTTTATTGCTAGAGCTTTTGTTCTTAATTCTATTACTTGAAAATGTTAACTTTGGGGCTTGAGAGACAGCTCAGCAGTTAAGAGCACTGGCTACTCTTCCAAACCTAGGTTCAGTTCCCAGCACTCACATGTCTGCTCACATCCGTCTGTAACTCCAACTCTAGGGGATTCAACACCCTCACACAGATGTACATGCAGGCAAACACCAATACACATAAAGTAAAAACAAGTAAACATTAAAAAAGAAAGAACATGTTAACTTTATTCTGGCAAGCTTCTCTTCCCATCGCTGAAGATCTCCCCCTGCCATCCTAGATTAGACTTATGCTTTCTGAAGTCAATGGCCACAGCTATAAATGGATGGTCAGTAATGAGATGAGACTGTTGTCTGGGTCCTTACCAGAGATACTTCTCTCTGACACTGCACAGAGCTCAGTGTCTCTAGGAGACACTCAGCGACTTAGGGGCCCCAGCTTCCCACCTGGACAGCTCAGCAACAGTAAATTCAAAATACCACCCACAGTCATTATTAGCAGTAATTTGTCTGGAGCACCCCTGCACCGGCATGATGTCAACATCCTGCCAGCAGGCATAGAGAACGGGCATTCTGATGGCACTTGATGGTTTTCTAAGGGGGCTGGTCCTTGCTAGAAGCTGAATGTGGTAACACATCTAGAAAACCTAATTGCCTTTTACAACTGTTTCCACTTTTATGAGGCCATTTGATTCTCTAAACCCAGCCTAGAAACAAGATAGATTGAGGAGTAAAAAGTCTTCACGATTTGAAACAAGACTCTTGCTGAACTGAACAGATGACTTCGCTTCTCTGAACTCCACTCTCCTCTGTTGAAGAAGCTCATGAGCCCTCCTTACAGGCTGCTGTGAGGATGAAGTTGCCCTCAACATGACACAGTGGGTGGTCAGTACAGGAGTTAGCATGATTTTGTTAATTGCCATCTAATAGATGACAGGAAATTAGGGCTCGGGATGTAAAGTGACTTGGCCAGGGCTTCAGAGCCAGGGTTGCAGAGCTTGAAAACTGACCCAGGAGCCTGCCTTCCAGGTCAGAGTTCATGCCAAGAATGACACCTGCTCCACCCACTCCCACCCCTTACCTGGTAGACCCTCTCCTACTCCTTACCCGCTTGGGCAAGCCTCCTCTCTCAGCACAGTCTCCAGGCAGGAGCTTCAGTTTCTCACTTCTGCAGGTCGCTGGGGGACAGCCTCATTTGCATGGGTCTCCCAGCTCTTGAT